GCGACATTTTATCTAAGGTAGATAATATTGACGTTTGACATTTTAGGTTATGTGCACAAATTTTTTTATAATATATATTTTAACTTCTTTCAACTTTGATATGTACACTTTATACCTGAGAAATATTAGCACTTTACATTTCACTGCACTTATACTGAAGTCAAATAAAAATTATAAAAAAATCAGTAAGTAATAAACGTTATTTTAGTGCCGCGTATTTTCAGGGGTATAAGTAATATTTATTTTTATACCGAATTTTCTTACTCTTTTAGCTTTTGAATGCCATTTTGAACAAGTAGATAACTATAAAAGAAAATATTTTATAGCTAGGTATAAAAATAACACTTGAAATTCCTTATTTTGTGACCTGAACTATTTCACGTGAAAATTAAATCATGCGAATTTTCGTCTTTGGATACCAAAGAACATTCCCACAGAGTTTAAGAATAATCTTACATCAGCCGGCTTTGCCATTTCGATGATTTTATATTAAGGGCATAAAACCAGAGAGGCGTATGCGCCAAAATGAAATATTTTACAGGAGAAGATACAAATGTTTTAAACGGGACACATTTTTCACGGTGCTGTTCTGAGAGGTGATTTTTGGACTTTCTGTGAAACCTAATTTTTTTTATATTCTTGTTAATTAGGTCATAACTAAAATTTTAAGAGCAAAATAAAAAAAATTTGACGATTAATTTTGTTTTAATTGGATGTTTATTAAAAATATGTATGCACAGTTTCAATTCTCCAATTAAAACTTGCGATTCTGAGAGAACAAAAATTATAGAATACGTATACTGAAAATGACAATTCAAACGTCAAATAAATTTTTAATAGATCTAAGTTTCATGGCAACCTTTAAGGATATATTAATTAAGGGAACATAAATGTATACGTCAAAGGTTAGATTAAAAGTTTGAACGTTTATTGCAATAAAACAGTAAAATATATAAAAAAAAATTGTAAAAACCTTTTTTTAGTTATATTAAATATTTAAATTAAATCGCTAGTTTTAATTGGATAATTGAAAGAGTGCATAATATTTTTAATAAACAGCCAATTAAAACAATTCAAACCGTCAGCTTTTTTTTATTTTGCTCTTAAATTCTTAGTTATGACCTAATTAAAAAGAATATAAAAAAAAATTAGGTTTCACAGAAAGTCCAAAAATCACCTCTCAGAACAGCACCGTGTTTTATGATTTTAAAAACATTTTATGGGTAAACAAATAAATTTTACAATGTCAAAACCATAAATACCTATGTCAAAATTGCCACTTAAAAATGACGAAACTAATCGTTTAACATATTTAAGGAAGTGATCTTCAAACCTCAACTTTTAGTTTAGATACAAGTTTGAGCTACTCCATAATTACCTCTGAAGTAGTTATCAAACAATATATAAAATTTTAAATTTTTTTTATCAATTATATTTGTTAATTTTAACCAACTATTAACCATATTTTATGTTAATCCAGGTCCACATAACTTTATGATAAGTTTACAACCAACTGTAATCTGTTAACCAATTGAATTATAACAAACATTTGGTGGAACAAAATCCTGTCAATAATTTAACCATAATTCTTGTAATTTGTCATTTTTTCAAACCTTTTTGTAGACCCAGCAACAAATGTATTTGTTGGAAATTGAGAACTTAAATGGAAAGAATTTTGATAAGAAATGTTGCTTTTTAATATAATTTAATAAACAAAAAAAATTAATACCTACATAAATGAACACAAAAATAACATACACACAATTAAATAACACACCATTCTGAAATCATCAAATAATAAAGAAATTTGGTACAATATAATTATCAGTACTACTTCAACACCACTAAGGGCCGTATGCAGAAACTTTGCTTTATTTATACCAACTGATTTACGCACATACACTGATTTCAGTTTGAACCATTTTGGCAACATAACAAATTTTAAATAACAGGAAAGATTTGTAGGTTATCTTACATACGAGGTGTGTTCAGAAAATAACGGGAATTGTTAAATTTCGCAGGTTCGGAGGATCCGGTTGTCATAAAATTTTCTTTATTATGTTGGTATACAGGCCCCCGAAGTATGATAAAAACTTTAGATGTTTTCATTGTTTACTTTGTCTGTGGTAGCTGGTAAGGTTAGACGTGTTTTATGAGCTCGGCGATTTTTCGTCCGTTAAAAGAAATGGATCAAAGAATTTGTATCCAATTTTGCTTAAAAAATGAAATAAATTCTGTGAAATGTTAACAAAGGCCCATAGTGAGTCTGCTATAAGTAAAACAAGAGTTTACAAGTGATATAAGAGTTTCCAAGATGGCCGTGAAGACGTTGAATATGACGAACGCCCCGAACGCACAAGCACATTAACAACCGATAAAAACATGGAAAAAGTGCAAGAAATGGTTATAAACCATTAGAGAAGTCGCTGATGATGGTATATCGATTGGCTCATCCCATGAAATTTTTTCGAATGTTTTGGGTATGAAACGCGTGGCAGCAAAATTTGTTCTAAAATTGTTAAATTTTGAACAACATTTTTGGCCAAAAACAATACTGTAATGATGCCCCAGCCTCCATATTCGCCAGACATGCCTCTGTCTGACTTTTTCCTATTCCCAAAAATAAAGAGAATCTTAAAGGGCCGTCGTTTTGCAAGCATAGATGACATTAAAAGCGCATCGCTGAAAGAACTAAAGGCTATCCCAAAGATCGAGTTTTAGAAGTGTTTCGAGTATTGGAAGAAGAGCTGGCACATGTGCATAATATTCAATGGGGACTATTTTGAAGGCGACAACATTAATGTAGACGAATAAATAAATATTTGTTTCAAAAAACGAAAATTCCCAATATTTTCTGAACACACCTCGTATACTTAAATATGTGTTTATTACATTATAAGAGTAAAACATTTTTAAAATGTATTATTAAATATACACATAATAGTTATTTATGTATTAAGGGCATAATAAGGCTTTTATGGTCCGAGGCGCTATTTCGAGCCCGAGCGCGTTAGCGCGAGGGCTAGAAAAGCGTCGTAGGACCATAAAAACCAGTTATGCCAGCAATGCATACAAAACTTTATGCACGATTAATATATTAATATTTTTAATATATTAATGTTTTTAAAGACGTTTACGTCAAAGAATTTTTGATATAATTGTCATATTATAATGTCAACTGACATCAGTCAGTTTTAAAGTTTAAAGATGAATGAAATTGAGGAAGCAGCTGAAAAGGCGAAAAATTGCGGCCTGCTGCTGGAAAAATCAAAATCTTTATACGAAAAAACTTACTTCGAATATATCAAATGGTGTAACATTGTTGTTTTTAATTTTTGACGTTTCATTATAGCCCGCTGGGTCATAATAACGCCCGCGGGCTATAAAAAGACGTTTACGTCAATGAATTTTTGTTATAATTGTCATATTATAATGTCATCGTGCATAAATACATTTATAACTGACTTAACCTTATTATTGACAACAACTCAAGTTGAAGGGGATTGCCGCAATATAAAACATACACAATTGGGTTATGTTTGCAGTTTGCAATGTGTTCTGGTATAAGTAAATTTGCATTAGAAGGTATGAAAAACGAAAATTACGGCTTAAAGCCAAAATGTTTGTTATAAATGCAAACTACTTATTTAATTAGTTAACAGATTACAGTTGGTTGTAAACTTAACATAAAGTTATGTGGACCTGGCTTAACATAAAATCTGGTTAGTATTTAATTAAATGTCTAATTTGATGTTGATCCAAGTAGAACAGGGCTCCCAGCAGGTACTTTTTTTAAAGACTTGTCTATATTTTTGTCTTAAGTCTATAAAAGTCTATTTTTTTACCTAAAGTCTATAAAGTCTATATTTTCTGTTAAAATCAACTATTAAAAAATATTTTTTTAATATAAATATTTACAGGTTTATAAATATCGAAACCATAGTAAACCAAGTGAAACATTCGAAAACTTCGCAGTTTACATTTAAAGTTCCCGCCGTCCAGACCCGAACCGCCCGCCAAAATTATTGCTGAATTGTTTCTGGTTTGGTCTAGGGTTTCGTTTACGTTTATGGTTTCGGTTCGCTAGGTTAACACTACCTATATATGCATTTTTCATGAAATTAGTAAGTACCTAGTATCTATCAAAGAACATGTGACAAAGAATGTGTTCCTATTCTATGTTTTATCATCCATTCCATAACCCTAAAAAAATATGTTCACAAAGAATGTGTTCCTATTCTATGTTTTATCATCCATTCCATAACCCTAAAAAAATATGTTCAGGACGATAGCAAAGTGTATAACTATAGTTTTGATTATTAAAAATAATACATTTATATTATTTAATAAAAACAAAGTTTAAATGTACTTGTACTGACATAAAAAAAATTAAATTGAACGATTAAGGGAGGGTGCAGAAAATAAAAAAAAAATGACTTAAATATGTATGGCTCAACTAATGTTTGAAGGAGTGAACCATCCCAAAAAAGAAGCGGGGAAGGTAACTTACAAGATTAGTCGTCTTGCCCAAGATTTAGAAAAACGAAAGGCGAAAATTATAGATCAGCTGCAGACCACCAAAAAAAAGTGCCTTTTATATAAATCTGATTCTATTTATTATAAGTTATAATTTATTACAGAATTTAATATTTTTTTTGTTATTTATGTATTTTATAACAGTTATGGTTACTTGTTAAATTTAATTCAATAAAAATTTATAATTTTAAGTTATCTCTATGTATTTTAAATTCAAATTTAGATCTTTTATCCCAAAAAAAATGTATACCTCCATTTTATAGTTATTTCGGTAATTAATTTGGTCTATATTTGGTCGTTTATTTTTTATTATTAGTCTCTTAAGTCACTATTTCTTGCAACATGGACTGCTGGGAGCCCTGAAGTAGACATAACAAAAAAAATCTGGGCATTGGCCCCAAAATCTGGCTACGTCACTGAACGACCCTAAAGTCAATCTTTTCATTCTGTCTGTGTTGTTGCAGGTTCTCCCGAGGGACGCACGTTGCCCCATGGCACGACCGGAGCAGGACTTCTTGCCACATCGCCCAATTATGCACAATCCAACGTGCCACAGTGGATCGGCCCCGTTGATCAGGTAAATTGCACCTCTGCAGAGCTATGCCGCCCGCGGCTCCTGCGGCGACTCATTAATATCGTTTGTCGCGACCGATTTATGCTAATCGATGTCACGCCGCCGATAATGGAATTTGCATTTATTAATATTGTTAATTTTCTCGAAGACGGCATGAATTTTCTTCGCTTATTATGGTCTAAATTGAGACGTCTACCAAACAAGTTTTTACTATCTATATTTTGTTAATTTTTTGTTTTATTGGGTTATGTTTTTTACATAAAAAATACGTACATGTTTCCATGGCCTTTTAAATACACATTGACAAACTTTGGCTTTATCGCGCTTTAGTTTCTTTCTTGTAAAATACACTCACATGCAAAATAATCGATCCACACAAATTTTCGATGAATTTCAATCGCAAATAACTTTTTTATTTGATGTCGGATTTAAACGAAAATTAAAGAATATTGCAGATAAATTAATGTACAATCGCTCACATTTTAAAATTTTTAAAAAAAATAGATGTACGTTTATAATATACAAGTTTAAACAAAAATATGTTTTTTACCATAAGTTTAAGACACTCTGTAGAGTGGCAAATCCGTATATTGTTCTAAATTAAGTTTTATTTATTCTTAAAAGTTTTGTTTTTGGTTCACCTCGATATATTTATTTTTGTGGAAAATATGGATTTTTTAAAAAAATATTGCAATTTCCAATATTTTTTCTGTACCAAGAACTAAGGTTGCTATGGTCCATCCATAGGCTATGGAGGATGACAGTGACAGTTTTGTTGAATCATCCCATACTTGGGCATGTCATACACGGCTTTCAAAAGCTATCAAATTGTTTTTTGCAAATTAATGTTTAAATTTTATGGTATCTTCTTACTTTAAAAAATGGATATGTCTCCGACTGATGTTGCCAGAGCCATTAATTTAATCCAGGATGGACGGTCACAGTATTACATGGCAAGTGTTTTAAACGTCACAAGAAGTAAAGTACAAAAGGCAACATCAGTAGGAGACATTTTTAAAAGTAAGAAGACACCTTAAATTTAACACATTAATTTACAAAAAAACAATTTGATAGCTTTTGAAAGCTGTATATGACATGTCCAAGTATGGGATGATTCAACAAAACTTTCACTGTCATCCTCCATAGCCTATGGATGGACCATAGCAACCTTAGTTCTTTATACAGGAAAAATATTGGAAATTACTTTTTTTTTAATCCATATTTTCCACAAAAATAAATATATCAAGGTGAACCAAAAACAAAACTGTTAGAAATAGATCTTTTTGATTAAACCTGTATATTATAAACGTACGTCTATTTTTTAGTAATTTTTAAAATGTGAGCGATTCTCCATTAATGTATCTACAATATTCTTTAATATTTGTTTAAATCAGAAATCAAACAAAAAAGTTATTTGCGATTGAAATTCATCGAAAATTTGTGTGGATCGATTATTTTGCCTGTGAGTGTAATACTAAATGTGAAAATTATTTTATTATCTCAATACCATTCTCTTCTCTTTTACTGTAAAAAACTGATTCTATATCGATTGTTAGTCTATTTTCAAGGGATAAGTTTTGATTTACACGGAAAAATTTGAGATTCCCAAGTTAGAAATTCTAACGGGAATTCCAATAAATACAACTGTCACTTTTCAAGTTTAACATTTCCCGTGTAAGAATTTAATACTTAGTGACAATGTTTTGCAATTATAGTAATAACATAATTATATTTTTAAGTTATTTTAATATTTTAAAGTATCAATAATTCTCAAGTTAATTAAAATAAACGGCAATGTTAATGGTGAAAATTACGTCAAAAATATTTATTGGGATGGTTACTTTATTTTCGTATAGATGTCGCTTTATACAAACATTTAATTTAAATCATTTTTTAGATAATATTAAGTATTTGTCGTAGAAATAGTATAGTATGCAACTCGTTAATAAACTTTTCTAGGCACTCATTAAATTAAGCACTCGCTCATATGCCTAAATTAAATTCGTGACTAAAATTACTTTAATTAAACTTAATGCCTAATTTACTATTAAAACTTAAATTAAATAAAGCAAAAAAAAAAATTATTTTTAAATATGGATTTTATTTATTTATTATATGATTTAGATAAAAAACACTACTTATAAAAATAAAATAAGTAAATATACATTATCTTACAAGATTGATTTAATTAATAAAAAATAAAATATAAATACCATAAAAAATAAAATGCTTAGAAATGATGACAATTGAGAACGCAAAATATTAATTAATTTTTATTTTAAATAGCTTTATACAGGGTGTTATGGAAAACACTTTAGTAATTCTAGGATATCATTTGGATCCACTTTTATTTAATAATTCTTTAAACTCATCTAAAATTTAAAAAAAAGATGTTAAAATAACAATTTCAATGCTATTTGACCACGAACAGTATGACGTTATGATGATAAGATAGCGTGGTGCAAGATATAAATAACCTGAATTCTTTGATTTACTATTTTATTTGATGTTTTTTTTAACACTGTATATACTTTATTTATTAAAGATTACAGTTTTTTTGATTTTTACTATTTTTTAATAATTCTATGAATTTTGTATGCTCTAAAACTACTTATTTAAATTTTTTTAATAATAATTAAGTTATAATGATTTTAAGTTGAATTTTTATACTGAAACTGACAAAATACATTAAATTTTATCAAACATGTTTATCTCAGCTGACCTATTAAAAATGCTGTTTATAGCAACACGCGTTGTCAAGTTTTTTAAACTAGTAGTCGATTTCTTGTTTAATCTTTTATATCTAAAATAACTAGGTATCCCGTAAAATTTAAAAAATTTGGAGCAAAAAACTTTGCTAATCCAATATTATGAAACTAGAGATCTTTGCTACGGTATGTTAATAAATAAATAAACTAGTACTGTTAATTTCCTACTTGTATATTTATACTAAATTTGGCCAAAATTTTATTTATAATTGGTAATACTACCCAGAGAGAAATAATGTAATTTAATGAAAAAGAATAGGTATTCAAAAAATCAGTACAAATTTTAACCCTGCATCTGAATTGCTTATAACTTCTATGATATTCTTTTATCGAGAAAAGCAATCAACATTTTCTAACGGTTCTGCATAAACCATTTGTATTAATCATCCCCTTAAAAAAATTCATATTAGTTGTATGGACTTCGTAGAAGCCAAAACTTGGGCCATTCCTAAACTGTAAGCCAATTAAAAACGTTATATTAATAGTTAGCTGGTTTTCCATCACGTTGGAAGTACATGAAATATAATAATTTAATGGCAGTTCATCAATTTTTCATTAAAATATAGAAATACATAAGTTCATCATCTTCTTTAAGAGCCTAAAGTGAGGTATAAACGGAATAATTTTGTTCTGGTTGAAGATTTTTTGAAGGTTTGATTTGCCTTTTTCTGTTCTTTTTAATTCAAAACGGAGCTAGTTTCTAAAAATGTCTTTACCAATTTTTTATCAGCCACATACGAAACTTTAGCAGAGCTCCTCAGTCCGATAATATTGAATTAGATAAATGATTTGCTCAAAATACGCCATTATTTTAGTCGTAGCGAAAGTAAAGCATAAACCAAAAAGTATCTATGAAGTAAAGTTCGATAAGTGAAGTTTAGAAAACTAAATTTGCCTACTTGTATGGCTTCCAATTTTAAATAAAGCTTTGTCCAAATTTGGTATAAAAACATTGGTAGAAAATTAACTGTGAAAGCTAAAGTAAAAAAAGATGAGTTTTAAGGGTGTATTCATTTTTATTTAATTTTATTTGAATAAAAAATAAATACCTCCTGGGCTATTCATATACTTTTATTTCTTCAATAAATAAAAATTCCATGAAAATTATTTACAAAAACATGTTTACTTTAGAAGGAACATATAAATGCTCTTTATAAAATATATTGCTAAATTTAGATTAATTAATAAAAGTTAAATTACAGATATAAAATATTGAATATGTGAAATATATGAAAACTAATTATTAAATATATTTTCTGTTAATTTACATGGTAAACTCATCAAATTTTAATACCAATAAACATAAAAGAGTATAGTAAACCATTTAATAGCAAAAACAAAAAATTTATTAAATTTATGCTCCTAATAAATATAATAATAATATAAATATAATATAAATAAATACTTGGTTTGAAGGTAAAAAAAACAAAATACAAAACACTTTTTTGTCTACAACAAAAACAAAACATCAAAAAATATATAAAAAGTATAAAAAAGTAGTATATGTTATATGTTTATATGTACTCTCCGACCCATAATCTATGCAAAAAAATACTGATTTGGTAACACCGTTAAATAATGCAAGATAACTTCTTATCCTTAGGATTAAAAAAAATCCCTAGTTCTGGGATTTACATATCCGTACCCCAGAGCAAAGCTGTCCACTTTTTAAAATCAACTTTAATATTTTTTGCCTACGTTTTTTCACTCAATGGTAAACAGGATTAAGTACTGGCTTACTTAGTTCTACTAGCAAAGTTGTAGATGTAATACTAGATCTATACTACATTAGGGTGGGTCAAAAAAACCGACTATTTTTTTTTTTACTTTGTACTCTGAAAAATCGGTTACTAGACAACTCTAGAGAATTCTCACCAAACATGAGCTCTTAATTTTAAAAATTAAAAAGTCTCAAATAAATTTTCGAAAGGGAAACTTCTATAAGAGTTACTTTTACGTTAGAAATTCGAATTTGTATAAATTTTCGTAAAACTCAAAAATTAAATTGAAATTTTTCAAATTATTAATCAAAAACTGTTAAAATTAGTATGCATTGAAGTTTGACGATGAATATCTTTTAAACGCTTAATTTAGTCGACAAATCATAAGAGACCATTTATGTAGAGCAGTTAATTTCCTACAAAACTATGAGTTGCGCATAAAAAATTTTTGTAAGCGAGTTATAAAATTCATAAGCAAAACAGAAATTCCTCTTAAAATAATTAAACTTTAACCTTCGATATCTTTTTAACGGTGAGGTTTACGAAACAATTGTAAGAGACCTTTTTTGTAGAGCGTTTGATTTCCTACAAGAATATGAGGAGAGTTATTTTTTAACGAACAGTTGTCGAAGAGATAAATTTTTGTTTCTAATACTGAGGAAAAAATGGAAAATTGTAAAGCGGAGGACCTTGTTATCAAAATTAAGAGCTCATGTTTGGTGAGAATTCTCTAGAGGTGTCTAGTAACCGATTTTTTAGAGTACCTACGAAGTAAAAAAAAATAGTCGGTTTTTTTGACCCACCTTAATACTACATACTGCGAAAATTGTTGATTTTACTTCATATTATAACTAAAATTTTTAAAAAATTGTTAATATGTGAAAAGACTGGATTTGTAAAGACTAAATTTGTAGACTACATTTGTATAAAAAATGTCATGGATTTGTAAAGACTAAATTTGTAGACTACATTTGTATAAAAAATAGACATAATTTTATTTGTAATTCCAAATTGGATTTGATCTTAAGATCAACAAGTTAACACGTTGATCTTAAGATCACGTGTATAAATTAATTTATCATTAATTTATTTATGAATTTGTAAAAAGATACCTAATTTTAATTAAAATAAGATATCTTTCTATAAATTGTCACAAAAACTAAAATAAATGACCTAAAGAAAAATATCTTTTGGATTATTACTTATTGACCAAAATTTCGCAATAAATCAATTTTATGAATGATTAACAGTTGAGTTTTGGACTTGCCTTGTCTTAATTTGATTGTTTTTCTTACAACGTTTCGATTAGTAATTTTCTCTAATGGTCTTCAGGTAATAACTGAAGACAATCGAAACGAAAGAAAAAGAATCAAATTAAGGCAATGCAAGTCCAAAATTCACCTGCCCAGAACCATCACATGTGCTGGCTATATGAAGTTCAATTTATGACGCAAATGATGAATATATGTGTCATACGTGCGGATTAAGAATCACGTTGTGACTGCTATATGCGTAAATTATTAACCTCAATTGAGGCCTGTCAGAGCAAAGTCAACAATCTCCCGTCAGACTAAAACTGAGTAAATTGAGATAATTGATTTTGGTATTTTAAATTCTAGATTTGTAATTTTTTTTATATATTATATTGAAATATTGTTGTTGTTAGTCTAGTAGCAAACTACAAGGTCTTCAAGATGCATAGTATAGGTGAAATTTATAATTATAAATTGGAGATTGCTGACTTTGATATGAATTGCTGGAGATTGCTCATTTTGTTGTATACGTTTAAGGAGATTTAGAAAAATAAACAAACAAATAATTGTATTTTTTTCCTTTAATGGTTATAAAATTTAACTATACAATCAATGTGGGAAAATTCTGAACTGGACCACATAAATCTGGATTCCTTCTAAATCTGGGATCAGGTTGCCTCGTGCAAAAAAGTTTGTTTAGTACAACATCATCTCATCATGTTCTTCCCACTTTACCCTGTAATGTTTTACTTGCAATGTTTTGACATTATCGGCCTTTTCTTGCTTTACCTTTACGTCTTATTATGGTATAATAGCACAAAATAAACCAGATAACTTTTTTTATGATTCTTAAAATAATAAAACGTATATATACCTATTTTAAATATATTTTTAAGTACAATTTACTGCAATAGAACTTAACAGTATGTTCCAGTAAAAAAACACAAAATTAAATCTCTAAAATACGTTATATTATCAAATGTTAGGATATCAGGTGACACAAATTACTAATTTCTAATGGTGGAATTGGAGATTGTATACTTTGCTGTAAATCTATCAGTGGAGATTGTCGACTTTGCACTAAATGTCATTTTTAAAATAGGATTTTAGGCAGGATTTAGCTCCTTTTGCAGCACATAAACTTTATCATCTCATAGATAATTAGTTGAAGTACAGTCTCCGCCAAAAATCTCATTTTTGACCAAAAGTGGAGATTGTCGGTTTTGCTATGACAGGCCTTAATTGATGATGCATAAGTGCGGATTACAATCACGTTGTGACTGCAATATGCGTCAATTATGAACCTCATAATGTTATCTAGTATATGATATACCTATTTGATATGAAATAAAAAAAAATATGATATCATAATATAATACCCAACACCCCCAAAACGTAATATTTCTAATGAAACCGTTCGTTTCAGTACCACCAGTACAACAACCCAGTGGCGAGGGTGGGCACGTTTCCGCGGGACTCGCGGCCCAAAGATCTTCACTTGGAGAACGGCAACAATTCTCCGACAAAAAAATCCACCAACGACATGGAACTTAATGGATTGGCCATCAAAGAGAGACTTATGGCAAACCGTCTTCCAGAAAGTTGCGTTTAAAAGTGTTTGTGTGTGTGTGTATAATTTTACCGTCTTCTCTTATGTTCGTTGTTTTTTATTATTGGACCGTCCAATGCGTTTTAAACGTTTTATAAAAAGCAAAGAAAATCATCATTTTACTTGAGTCCATTATATCAATAAAATAGTTTTTTTTAACAATTTGAAATTTGAAAATATTTAAAAGAAATTTAAATTTAGATTGTTAAATTATTTTTATTAACTAATGTTACATCGATAAAGAATAAAGAATTACATATTATTATCAACATATCAAAATGAATATAATTTATAAACTTATAATCCAAATAAACATTGTAAAATAATGATTTTCATTGCGCCCTACATATGTAAGAAAACGTTTCTAAATACAAACATAAGTACATACAAGATGTCTATAACCTTAGACTGAAACATTTTGTGAAAGTTCTCGATTAAGACAAACAATAATAATCTTCGATGAAAAGAACAGTATTTAATCACTTGTTAAAATAACAATTATTGTTAAACATATCCCCCATAATCCCTTGTAAATAAATAAATAAATAAATAAGATGTATCATCATACTTGTATAAATAATGTTTTAATAATATAATGTAAAGAATATAAATAATTCGTCCACAAATATCTTATTTTAGTCCAGATATTAGTTTTATGGTCATTGTTTGGCATATAACCATAATACACTCACATGCAAAATAATCGATCAAATAAATTTTTTATTTGATGTCGGATTTAAACGAATATTAAAGAATATTGTAGATAAATTAATGGAGAATAGCTCCATTTTTAAAAAATTACTAAAAAATAATGTACCTACGTTTATAATATACAGGTTTAAACGAAAAGAAGTTTTTTACCATAAGTTTAAGACACTCTGTAGAGTGACTAAACCGTATATTGTTCTAAATTAAGTTTTAATTATCAAGTCACATCTATTCTTACCAGTTTTGTTTTTGGTTTACCTCGATATATTTATTTTTGTGGAAACTGTGAATTTTTTAAAACACATTGCAATTTCCAATATTTTTTCTGTACGAAAAACTAAGGTTGCTATGGTCCATCCATAGGATATGGAGTTTTGTTAAATCATTCCATACTTGGTCATACACTGCTTTCAAAAGCTATCAAATTGTTTTTTGCAAATTAATGTTTAACATTTGAGGTGTCTTCTTACTTTTAAAAATGGATATGTCTCCGACTGATATTGCCAGAGCCATTGATTTAATTCAGGATGGACGGTCACAGTATTACGTGGCAAGTGTTATAAACGCCACAAGAAGTAAAGTATAAATGGCAACATCAGTCGGAGACATATCCATTTTAAAAGTAAGAAGAGACCTCAAAATTAACACATTAATTTACAAAAAAGAATTTGATAGCTTTTGAAAGCCGTTTATGACATGTCCAAGTATGGGATGATTCAACAAAACTGTCACTGTCATTCTCCATAGGCTATGGATGGACCATAGCAACCTTAGTTCTTCGTACAGAAAAAATATTGGAAATTGCAATGTTTTTTTAAATCCATATTTAAGAAATAAATATATCAAAAATAGATGTGACTTGATAATTAAAATTTAATTTAGAACAGTATACGGTTTTGCCACTCTACAGAGTGTCTTAAACTTATGGTAAAAACCATCTTTTTGTTTAAACCTGTATATTATAAACGTACGTCTATTTTATAGTAATTTTTAAAATGTGAGCGATTCTCCATTAATTTATCTACAATATTCTTTAAATCCGAATTTAAATAAAAAAAAGTTATTTGCGATTGAAATTGATCGAAAATTTGTGTGGATCGATTATTTTGCCTGTAAGTGTATTATACAGTAAAATTATGGAAATATGAGAGTTACTGATAAACAAATTTAATGAAAAAGATATTATCACTTTTCTTTAGTCTTCTTTTTGTTTAAAGTCATTCATTCGAAATCACGTATGCAAGTTTAACGATGAAACTTCGGTTGTAGCAGTGGCAGAGCAACTGGTATACAAAATAGCCTTTTGAGAAATAATTTGTTGGCCTGCCAAGCCGTAGCAGCCCATTAATCTCCAACGTCGCATGTACGTTGGAGATAATTTTGTTACACACTACATATAGTGTCCAGTTTTCCTAAAGGTGCACCTACGTAGTACATTAATCATTATTAAATAATATGAGGGACACTTTACCTAAATCGATTTTATTTATTTTTACTAAAAATACAGTTTATTATGACGTCAAAAGAAGTTCCATTTCATTTATCACGCATATTCGCAGTCTAGTATCGTGATAGCACCGTGATTTAAACGCGTACAATTTTAAATTTTAATATTTTTTTACGATAAAACAGTCTGGATTAAAAAAGATTATTTGTAAAAACTCATCTAATAAATAAATGTACATACAAATCTTTGTTAATTAATTAGTGTTACAATAGTTTTTTAATTTAATATTTCCGTGAAAATAAATAGTGTATGTATGTCCGATAGACAATCTCTAGATTAAAAAATGGTTAGTTGTTAAGATAATGTACATAAGTTGTTTTATAATCGTTATAGTTATTACCCCTGTACAAAAAAGCAAGTCGGCATATCATATGATGGTTGTTTTTTAATTGAATAGATGGCTTTGTACATAGGCGAGTCGATTTGTATGATAATAGATGCATTATCATCTCTAATATCGTTTTTGTTAAGGTTAAGTTTAGCTTTAAAGTTAATGATTATAATAAAGTAAAACAGCAAAACTAATTGATTTATCACTGATGAGTGATACCTTTAAAAGAAACCACTTGGATAAATGAAAAATTTACGTTCTTTAGAAGTGCATTTAATTCTAAAAGAACTATTTCCAATGTTTAGTTAATCTTAATACTCTTTTAAAATGACGGCATTACTTTAGGAAATTTTAAAAATGTATGTCTACTTGTTGTTAAATTGTAATTTATTGGTTTTTAACGTACTTTAAACTTTCTTTATACCTATATTTATCAATAGATCTGTTGTTTCAGTGCAAACACTTTACGATTCCTTCTTATTGTTTCCTTGTTGAAGATAATCAATATTTATAGCCAAATTGTTTTACAAGGATTTTAAAATTGCAGCTCTTGTATTCAACGGTATTTAAACACAGAAGAAAATTAAATTGTTTTTTATTAAAGTCACCAATAAAACGAATCATTCCAGAACGTAGCAACGGATTTAAGAAAGTTACATCCGCCATTTATAACATTTTTACCGGCTTCTTTTAATGCCATCTTTCTAGGACTTATGATTTCGTCTTCGAGATACTCGAAATAGCTTTTATTAAGTTTTAACTGCATAATATCACATAAACTTTCATTTCCATCCAATTTATTCTTTGTGACTACAAAACATTTAAGCTTAGCCTCGTTCTGCACCTTTTTTACAACTTCTTTAATTGTTACACTCGGGCATAACCTTAAAGTGCATCTTTGTAATTGCATGTCCAATAAAAACGAGATTACGCCTTTCACTTTGAGCAGCGATTGTTCAAATTGATTTTTATTGCTGTTGCTTAAATTTTCCACGAAAACCAGATGCAATGTATTCTTTTTCGAGCACTTCGCTTTCGAACGCGTGTTATATGCTGGAGGAGTGCTGTTTCGTAAGATTTCCGTAATGTCGTTGGATCTTTTGAAAATGTCATCGTTTACACCTCTCATTCTGATGTTAAGAGATTCCACTGCTTCGTAGATGCCAAAAGTGGATATTAGAGTCTTGTGAGTGTTTTCATTTCCAATGAAATTTTCAATTATGTCCAGACAAAGTTCCACTACCTTTAAATTGCTTTTTTCCAACATTACAGCGGCATATAATATAACCTTTTGATTTGTCAGTAGCTCCTCGTGATTTTCCACATTGGAACTGATTCTTTTGAATAGTTTTAACTGTTCTATTACTTCGTTCATATTTGACGTTAATGACAAGCATACATTCAGAGGTATAGACAGGAACTCTGTATACCGTGTTTTTGGGTATAGAAATAAAACATAAAATGATATTGGATTTATTCATTATCAAGATAATTTTATGCCATAAGTGCTTAAATATGATTTCATGCGGCTGGCTCGTGAATTGGCCAGTACAGATTGTTTTTTTGATAATCAGGAATTTTTGGTTTTGGCCATACAAATTTGCAGTCATTATTACCTTCCTTATGTCACAATAAAATTTTACGTCGATTCCTTTGCAAAAGAAATTGGAGTAAAAACCAACAGTTACTGTTTGGTGTGCTTTATAGGCTTCTTCAAACACAGTCAATGGAGACCGTTTTAAATCGATGATTACTACTAAAAAAAATCATCCAGAAAAACTGATTAATTACACTAGTTTGCAAAATCGAAAAAATAATCTGCCCACCATATCCCATTATAAATTTTCCATGTATTTTGTCCCACTTAACACGAAAATCACACTCAATTGGTTGGTTTTTGAAATATGAATTTTCAATTGATTTTTTTTCAATTTTCGGAGGTAGGTATTTTGACCTTTTTGAGTATAGATTGAAATCTAATCGATCGATTTGGTCAAACAAGACCTGAAATTGAAGGTATTTAAGCCCTCTAAAACTTTCTTTTACATACTTTTGATATCGGATAAGTATTTTGACGCTAGCGATTTTAATAACTTAAAAAAATTTTATGGCGAAAATTTACATATCGTCCTGGAAAAGGCTTAAATCAAAAAGATAACTCTAGTTTGATTTTTTTTTCGTGAAGCTGACATTTTTACAAAAAAAACAAGCTAATGTTGATAAAAATACATGGAAAAATGGCGAAGTTATGAATAGACCAAAATTCAGCTTTTTGAGGATTTTTATTTTATTTTTTTTCTTTTATTTTGTAATATCTTTATTCTTTAATGAAAACCTAAGTAAAGTGCTTTATTGAAATTTTTTGAGTTTTTAACGTACATTTTTCACCAAAAACATTATTCAAAATTTAAATTTGACATGACTCCGCAAACGTGAATTCTTTTGTTTCTCCTATTGGCATAGTGACATTTTACTGATATTTCAACAAGGTATTTTTATCATGGTTATATTTAGTTAATAAAAAAAGTAAAATGAGTAAAAGAAGTAGATAGTTTGAGTGCATAAATAACCGACAATCTGGGCGACGTAAGTGATGAGCACGGAGAACGTTTTCACCAGCAAATGAAGGCTATGGAGCGGCGGTATCATGGCTCTGGGATGCAGCCATGATGGGTGATTACATTTGGTCCCTCATAAGAGAAACGGGATACGAAAGCAACAAAAAACAAAGAAGGAGCCAGAATATTTTTAAAAATATGCCTATTACAACAAAATAAAACTTTCAATATCTTATATCTCAATGTTCAATATTTATTCTTCAATATTCAATATATAATTTGATTTCAATATTTAATGTTTAAAATAAAAATCAATGTTCAATATTAAATTTTATATAATTCAATAAAATGAAGAAAAAACATTCTCGAAAAACTGGATTTTGGTCTTCCACTAAAAATTCATAACTTCGCCATTTATCCATGGATTTTTAACAAAAAGATATGTAAATTTTCGACCTCGATTTTGTAAAAAAAAAAACTTTTTCAACTTCATAAAATCGCCAGTATCGAACTACTGAGCCGTTACCAAAACTATACAAGAGAAAGTTGTAGATGGCTTAATTCCCTTTAATTTTAGTGCTTGTTTGGTCAAACCGATCAATTAGAACTCTAAGTATACTCTAAAACTTCAAAACACCTCAAAAAATTAAAAAAAAAACAATTGAAAATCCATATCTCGAAAACGCTTCTATGAAAAATTTTCGAGTTTAGTAAGCCAAACTACACAAGAAAATGATAGTCAGACATGTTGAGCAAAATGGCTGTAAACTATAGTGTTATTACCCATTACAACAGCATACAATATGACTTTCTCATCTCCAACTACCTATTTGACTCAACGATAAGTAAACATGGTGGCCACACTCTTGTAAAAAATAAATTAAAGCATAAAACGGCATTTAAGTAAATAATTAGGAAACAGACAGGGAAACAAAGATACGACAAATTGGGGTCGAAATAAGGCTTCAACAACAATGAAACAAAGGATAACTGCAGACTGAAACGAACAATAGGAGAGAACTAAAGACATTATTCTGTTGTCTTGTGGTCTATATTTGGTTAATGCTTTGCTTACTTTAATATGCCAAAGTCGGTTCATGCGGAAAATACAATACCAAGTTTAAAACTATTACGAAAAACAACACAGAGACCCAAAAACTTTTACTGACCACTCATTATTAAGAACTATGTCTTCATACAAGTTTTTTGGCGAGAATGAAAAATTTATATTTTAAATTGTTTGCACTAAAACAAAATTTCCAAGGTATTGATTATTCGCAGATACTTAAATAGGTAACTAAACATTGGATTATCCCAAACCATATCAGTTACTCATTGTTATAAATAAATGGTTGTATTATAAACTTTAATAAATAAATTCATATCCATAATATTACCACCATATATTTTTTGGTATTATTGCAGCAAGTGATTTAAATAAGTTATTTTTAAATAAATCTAGACTTGTGGATACAGGGTTGGCCAAATTATCAAGTCGTTTTATTAAAATTGAAGCCCTAATAATTTGATCAACCTTGTTTAATCAAATTTTAAAAAAATAGTAATATACCTATACTTGTTGCCATCATACTATGTTATTTAGACATTAATATTGTGATATTTTATGTAGGCTAATAATTGTATGTTAGCACAGAGGTGTGAATAAATAAATGTAATAATGATGAGACTTTAATTTTTGTTTTTTATCCATCAAGATAACAACGAACTCAGTTGCTAAGTTTTTTTTTGTTTGATGTTTTCAATAAAAAACCTTTAATCTGGATTAACCGAACTTTAATCGTTGCTTTAGCCAATCCAATTTATTTATACTTCAATAAAATTAGCACATGTCAAAAATATGTTCAATAATTTTGATCATTTTTTATTAAAAACAGTACAAAAAATAATTACAATAAAATTACCAAGAGTTTTATATTAAAAGTTGAGTATTATAATATTCAAACATATGTATATTTTTGAAGATATGCCAAAAATACAAAATATTTTTTAAGTTGTTTATTTCTAAAACAAATTTACTTTCGTAGTCAAACAAAACACCGATTTATTCCGTTTATGGGTTGACATTAGTCGGAAAATTGCTGGCCCCTAAAATAAAAAAATAATTAATAATTAATTATGCTTGATGTAGGTATCCCTTATTTTAATCATTTTGGCATTAGAAAACCCAAAAAACGGGCGCAACAACGTATAAATACTTACAGGAATACGAGAGTTAAGAGTAACATTGGCTCTAAAAGTGTTCACGTTATCTTTTAATGTAACGGGACATTTCATATGATCACAGCTGTTTGGAGATACTGGTAATTTAAAATCCTGTCCAAACATGTTAATAAAAGCAGAAGATTTCATGCTATTTACTTCCAAATCTAAAAAACAACTACAATTTTTAATATTTGAAATACAATATTTTTAATATTTTAAGTATAATGCACAAAAATTCAACAGCAAAAAAGCAGTGGTAAATTTAATAAAATATCATTGACATTGTTTTTTCAATGAAACACTCTGTATATTTTTGATTATTTAAATATAGTATTTCCTTTCTAAATAATAATAACCATGTTGTTTGAAACAATTATTAGCGTTTTGATAAAAATTAATTATAAAAACATGGTTAATTTACGACGTGAGTTCTTTATCCATTGCAACTCTTTTTACATTAAAATAAGTCAGGTTTTTGGTCCAATTATTAATAAAATTTTTAATACGAACATATACAAATTATATATTTTTGAAATGAGAATAATAAACTCTTTCTAAATATTAAAAATATATTGAAAAAAAAATGTAATATATATTTTTATCAATTTTAAAATCATTTTTGGTTTTTTAATTTTTGTTAAAAAATTACAAACTTAAAAAAAAATTATTTAATTATAATACCAATTTGATTTTTTCGTAGTGAACATTTACTTACATTTATCAAATGTAATAACAACACTAACATTTTTTCCAATTTGAAGATGGCAAACTTCATCTTCATTCAAACCAATACAGTCTTCTATAACGACCTTGTCAATTGAAAATTCAGAACCTGAAAAATAAAAATTTAAATTAAAATTGCCTTTTCTTTCTTATATGATTTCGTTGATAAAAACATGCTAAACAAATAACGATTATAATTACTAATTAATTAATAATTAATAACATAATGGAAAAATATGATTATCTATAATATACAGTGTGACCCATTTGTTTGCGACTCACCCCGGTAAAATTTTTATTTATTGTTCGATTTTAACCGGTTTTGTTTTAAAGTGTAGATTTTGATAAACTGTATAAAAAACGCCCTATTTTTACAAAATACATGGGCTACTATGTCAGTTTTTAAGAGTAAATTTTTAAGAATTCATATTAGCAATTTTTTAAACAAAATCTAAGCACGACTCTGGATTCACCACCCCTCAAAACGACCCTATACTAAATTTTTAGTAGAAAAATGCACAATAATAACTACAAAAATTTATTTTGTCAAGTTATCGATGAAAAAACATTGAAATAAAATTAAACTAATAGTAACATGATACTATTATGCGAGTTTAAAATCGACCATTCTTCACAAGTTTCACATACTATTTTGTCCCACAATCAAATAAACTTAAATCATTATATTTAGTAAACGAACTGACGAAGACTATTTCAAAATTATCATGGTCGCCTAACATCTGTCAAAAGAAATTAACCTTACTTTTTTCCAATTAGGTAAATTATTTCTTCCAAAAAGACTAAATTTTATTTTCTTGGTTTCTCTTTTATTTCTTTATAAAATTTTAATCCCATTAAATGGGATTAAAATCTTGTTTAAAATACAAGGTTTTAAATTAAGGTAAGTGCGGGTAATAAGGCCCAGCAGGTTATAAGGCCCGACAGCCATTTTACCTTCATTTTTTAAATTATAATACTGGGGCTGCCATCTAATGATTTTACTAGGTAATATTTGATATTCGATAGAGTTCCGCCTTAATAAGATGTCGTTTGCTAATAGTAAATACAACAAGTGTTTCGACAACAAGTTTCTTTCGTGAAATTATAAAAATTGTGGTATTTTCCTAGAGCTGTGCCTAAAAAGCGTTTATTCAATTGCTGCGCCATTACAGGTATGTATCAATACACATATTACCAATGTTTTCCTAGAAAATGATTGGTTTTGTACTATGCATGTCTGAGTTATAACCTTAAAACAAGGATCGTTACAAAGCAGGTAATAAGGCCCACCAAATAATGAAACTGGAAAGAAACCCCAAAAGGAGAGCGGCTCGGCAACAAAATGCAAGAAGAAAGTGAAGATCAGTCAAACGAAGGCCACTGTAGAACCATCGACCTCGACAGAAAGCGCAGACGCCAACCCCGAGGAAAATTGGTTCTGCAAGCTTTGTGAACTGGATTTTAAGGCTGATATGCGTCAGTGTGCCATGTGCCTTACCTGGGTTCATAAAAAATGTGTCGGACTGACGCCTGAGGATGAAGATGTGTTTATTTGTCCCAAATGTGCACCCTGAATGGATGGGCTTTATTATCTGTTGAGCATGAAATAAGGCCCATTAACGAGTTTTTTAAAAACCTAAGAATTTTTCTTTTTGTTTATTTCATTTGAGTTTATAAATGTTACAGTATATAGTTTAAAGTTAATATATGTTTATAAAATAAAAAAAATTAAAAAATGTGCACGTTTTCTTTGTTTTTTTAATATAATGCGTTAGGTGGGCCTTATTACCCGCACTTACCTTATATTTATGTATGTAAGTATGAGGGTCATTATACTATTAAGGCTTTCTGCCATTTGTCAGTTTTCCCTAAAATTTCCTATTAAAAAATAATAAATTGAGACTAAGGGCTAGGCTAATATAGAACTAGATTCGTAAATAAAAAGAAAAAAAACAAAAATTAATAGAAATTTTTTTCAATTAAATATAAAAATATTTATAATGTCTTAATTAAGGTTAAAACTTAGCAGCACCCTCTATAACCTAGTGTCCTCATCATATTGCAATAGTGAAAACTTGGATATATTTCATTGGTTTTATATTAAACAGAATTCCAAAACTAAAATAAAATAACAAATAAGTAGGTCCTCAGTACTAATAAAGAATGTGATAAAATGTCTGTTAATAATTTTTTAAGCGTGAACAAACATGTCCTTATATTTAAAGATTACTTTGTCATAAACCGCCTTAATAAAAACAGCTTTGTTATAAAATACACTGGAGTTTAGCATTACATATAAAAGAACTCTGTCACCCATGTAGTTTATAACTGTGGCACGAGATGGCGACGCTGCTATTGTTATTTTGCGCGTTACAAACTAGCAGTGTGTGTTTTGAAGTTATCTTTAGTCACGGAATTTACTCGGTAAGTATTTGCAGTATTTAATTTTCTTTTTCATGTTAAGTAAACCAATTTCTTTTTTTTTAATTTACTCTGATGTCACTTGGAATTTTTTTTTAATGTTTAATATTACATGTTTTTTTTTCACACTGCACTTCTATCGCTACGACATTATAACTTAAATATAAGAGACTTTTTAAGCGAAACTTTACTGCTGAGAGTAACATTAGATTTACCTTAAGTTTGCCTAAATAATAGTCACAGTGGATATGAAAATTTTAAATATTTATTTTTTAGAGGTAAATGGTTCTAACAAGTATAATGACTAGGGATGGGATTTTAGTTATTTTACCATTTTTTAACCGATGTAACTATTTGAAAACCAATAATGCCAAAATGTGTTTTAAAATATTTTCTTTTATATGAACCTAACTTGTTTTCACCTTTTTTACCTTTTTTGGAGGTTTTTGCTTTTAACTACCTTTTTTATACTTTTGTTACCTATTTTTTTAACTTTTTTTCACCTTGTTTACCTTTTTTGGAGGTTTTTGCTTTAAACTACCTTTTTATACTTTTGTTACATATTTTTTAATTTGTCAGTTTATTTTCATATATTTGTTACCTATTTTTACGTATTTTTACTTATTTTATTTTTTTTGTTCTTTTTAAAATTTGCGCCAATATTTTATCCAGGGCGTGCAACTCAACGGTATAGAATATTTTCTTATGGTTACAGACTGTCACAGTAACTTTCTTTACAGTTACCTTCTTTGTAGTGACTCACTACTAGTGAGTTCTGTCATAGAACTTCTGTGTAGTGAGTGTCACTCAGTAAAACACAGTTTATTGCATATAAATAGTTTATTGTGGGTATATTCTGTGTTTGGGTATGCGGCTAAACAAAATTATAAACGAAACTTAAACTTTTAATTTTTTTTTTACCTAAAATGCTTTTTTTTAGTACCTTTTTAGTTACCTATTTTTCAGTTTTTAGTACCTATCCCATCCCTAATAATGACCCATGTATCATCACTATGTGAAGATAGATGTAATTTATTGTTTACAATTATTGTCTTCATCTTTTTTTTTCATTGTTCCACTAGTGAAACAATATTTTCATTGTTAAACTAGCTTAACAATAGATTACTTTGTTCATTCTTTTTGAGTGTATAATGTCTCAAGTATCATTATATTATTTACAAATCATCTTTTTTTGTTGTATAAATATTATTAATTTAAAGGATTATATATTGATTGATAATAAAAAATAATTAAAATCATAACACAAAGGTTAATATTGTAAGTATATAATAAAAAACAATAATCTTTGACATGTGGACTCATTTAAACCCCTAAAATAAGCTTTAAATTATAAACTAAAATTGTATTATTTTGTAATAATTATTTGTCATAGTATCTTATTGGGTTTTATTAAGTTTTTCAGTTTTCGGTACCCTAATCTTTCCACTTTTACCGGTAAAAGTGGAAAGGTATACCGAGATCTATTCACTTTGTAAATAAATAATTATATAGGGAAATTAGCATGGCACTAAAATTATGAGGCAAGTGCATACAAAATCTGTCAAACAACGACCAGTTGTGTAAAAATTGGTCTTGCCAGAAGAGACCACGGTGAAATGAACTACTTACCTGTGACATTTCTGTTGTCAAATTGAAAAAGTGATAAATAATTTTCTAGTTGGGCTAAAGTTACATTTTTTTTATAAAAATACTAAAAATCGAGTTTCAAGTTTTAAATTCAATGATTTTGTAATATTAATAATTTTTAAAAAGTAAACACTTTAAATATAGCCTATAGCCTAAAGCCTATTATAAAATAACAATTATCTGCAAGGTCGAAAACTCCGCTTTGAGCTTTCTATATGGTACGTTATTTAGGAAGCTTAAATCTATGTTTTCGACCATCAACCCCTTGCAGATTTTCCGCCATCTTGGATTAAGGGGTGAATTTGTAAGCTTGATATTTATAAATATTTTTCAAATTTAACAAGTAATAGCCGATCGATTGAGGCTTTTTGGCTTATTAATAAAATACATAATTTTGACAGTATTCATACTAATTTTAAATGGCGAATGCTCCCGGATTAACCGTTATGGCGTAAGATTAATATTAAAAAAACTGTACTTACCACAATCTGTAAACGGGACTCCTTCATAGCACAGGGCCACTGAAGCAAACAGTAAAACCAAAAACTTTTTCATTTTTTTGACAAACTTTTCAATGCAGTTAGCGAACTGTTAATCATAAAACGCACTAAGCTTTACACAGATAAATAATCCAGTATTTTATTTTTTTGATTTTGTTATCTCGAGCGCAATTTGTGTACTAGAAGAAATAAATAAAACTTAAGATTAATAAAGGGATAATGGCGCATATATTAATTATATAAGTACAAGATACAAGATACTGAAGATAACAGAACCACTTTAAATATTATAATATTTTATTTCTATTTTACATTGATAAACATAATAGCATGTAATAGTATATTATAGACCTAGGCGGTAATGTGACATTTTTTCACTTTTTAAAGCTTGGAAAAATCGCTTTACTCCTGTGGTGTACATGATATTTTTCTTTCTACAAAACATGACTGCAATATTATGTTAAATTAAAATTTTGACATTAACGATAGCAAAGAATGTTAAAGTGGATTTTCCTGCCATTTGTATGTGTTTTGCAAGGCTAGACGTAGAAACCCCTACTTTCTCGTTCCTATACCATAAAGTGATGGTAAAATTTAACTTTATCATAGTAGTAATATTAATAATAATAATAATAATAAATTTATTAACGAAAAGAAAAAATTTAACCTACACCTCGCCAAAGTTTTTTGTTTTGAATGCGTTCCACCAACTTCAAATACCGACAGACAGCTGTTTCGACCTTTATTGGGTCTCATCAGTGTCGGGCAACTTGGTGTAGTGGAACACAATCAAAACAAATTACTCCCTGAGCCTATATGCTCAGTTGTTAAGTCAACAGAGGCGAGGTGTAGGTTCAATTTTTTCTTATGAATATTACCAGTGATGGGTCCAAGAAAGTTTCTTAAAGAAACTAAGAAAATTGAATGTTTACCGGAAAGAAAAATGCCTGACAAAATATAAAATATGTATAAAAATAATAAATACAACGTGAATACACAGTAAATAAATAAATCACAATAATTGTAGCTTTATTTTAAGTTCAGATTTAGATGTTCGTAAAGTAACATAAAAAAATTAGTCACTTTTTCAAATAGTTTCTGAAATATCTGTGTTTTCTATATTTGAATTCAAAGGAAGTGACGAGTATACCAGGGTACTAATTAAAAACATAATTTATTGAAAAATATAAGATTTATTGCAATTTTGAGCATATTATACATTAAATATCTTAAAATCAAATATTACCACACATCAGTGGCGGCTGGTGGATTTTGGGTAAACTGATATCTCAATTATTAGATATGGGACCCTCACCAAATTTATATGAGTTTATAATGACATTAAATAAAAAAGTTCTGCGCAAGCAGAATTTAAATTGAAGTTTGCGAAAAAAAGAATACCGAAACATCGAACATGGAACTGACGACACAGTACTGATGAATGGGATAAAAATTTGAGATTATAATTCGGAATTAAGTATTTTACTGATATTTTTTATTAGTTGATGCTACTTATCAACAAATTACATATGGTCTTATAAAAATTACAATGAAATATATATATATACGTAAGAAAATAACTACTCACCACAGTACTGAAATTTTGACTAGAACTATACGTGCATTCACCACAACTTTGCCGATTGCATTGTTTTCGATTCAGGAGTTGTGACACGCCAAGGTACTGATGTTTTGAATATTTATTATATTTTTCTACAAACTTGCTTTTCAAAAAATACATTAAAATTGGGTGGACAAGTTAAAAAAACCTGGATCTTTTATAATATACTAAAATATTTACTAAAATTTTTAAAATACCTACTCTATTGACTGATGACATCAAGTTATCCAACTTTTGTAGAATCACCCATATGTATATTATAATCAGGCGATCAGAATACTTCTGACAGAAGACATTAATTTAGTAATCCAAGGCACTTTGGTGTTGTATTTATGGAGAAAGTATTAAAAGGGTAATAAATAAATACAGTAAATAAAAAACGATAAAACACGTTTAAACTCAGGTCCAAGACCCGGAATGCTTCCGTTTATTTTTAAAAATGTATCTCTCATAAAACACTAAATAAGGGATTATGGGAGTGAGTGGGAAGTATAAAACACTTCATATTTATTAACGAACAATAATGTAATTGAGTGGATAAAGCAAGAACAGTAACCATATTCGAAACGACATTTAATTTATGTCTTGAAATAAAAGGACATCCTACAAACCCTTAAAACCACACACATAAATCTCCACAATGCGATCACAACTTACATATAAAATAAATTAATAAAAATATTTGTTCACTCCTATTACGGAATATGACCGTTCTATCATCGGATGACGGAATAAACACTGGTAGCGACATCTCTGTTTTAATATGTAACAAATATAGATTGATCCGACCTCACTTTCTCCCAATTAAATTACATTTCTATGGTATTTTTTGGAAACGTACAAAAAGTATAGTCTGAAACCATGGGCGCCGGAAGGAATTCGTCTAGGGGGGGGCCTTAAAGTTTTTTACAATTTTGATAGATGTTATTTATAATCAAGTTGTACTGTAGAAGTTCACATTAAACTTAAGTCAAATAAAATATCATCTTTATATGTATATTTACCTATTTATTTATATTGGTAGGTACATGTTGCAAAAAATACATCACAGTTTTTTGGTAAATATATAAATATAAAAAAATTGTATCGCTGAGGAATCTCCTCTAGTAGTACAGCCGTCTTATGTATACGCTATACAAATTATGATAAATTAAAATATAACAAAAAAATTAAATACAAACATGAGTAATATTTTAAAAATAAGTTATAACAATAACAAAAACTTAAACATAAAAAAATGTGGTTGCACTGTAGCGACTTTTTTAGGTAATAAATATCGATGTTATGCTATAGCATGATATAGAGTAGTAATAACAGGATAATTGTGCAAGCTTTGCTCTTTCTCTGAAGTGATGTTTTTTGGTTTGTTTGTTAGGTAAAAGTAGATTGAGGCTTTTTTTTCTATTATTGTATTTTAAAGGTAACTTTCTACGTCAAAAGTTTTATATTCATCATATATAAAAAGTTTTTAAAATTATTAAATGTTGAATTTTAGTTTACTATTGTCGCTATCACACAATTGCTGCTGTCACATACTGCAAATGTAATATTAAATAACTAAATATGAATGGTAATACTTACTTAACTAATTACGGGACATACAATTCCCTATAGACAGCTACAGCTGCAAGTTGCACATATTTATTAGACCAACTTCAAAACCTAACCTTTTAAGAGCCTTTTGAAAATCAAGTAGGTCAACATGTTGTACTTATTACAGCAAGGCCATGCTAGGCCGTATATTGCGAAAACAGTTTTAAACTTTTTTGAAGAACAAAATTTAAGTATTATGAAGTGGCCAGCTAGTGGTCCCTATTTAAAAACAACTGAAAATATTTGGAGCATATTGAAAAGGCTTTTGCATAAATGTTTTATCTGCAGATCATGATCCGTCCTTAAATTTAGTGCTATTAATAAATATTATATTATCTACAAAAACAAATTTCTAGAAATGAAAAACTATTATTATTATTTTTTAAGATATGATTCATGCTATAACTTGACATTGTGTTACAAACTTGAAGATAAATTGAATACGAACTGTTTATTGTTTTTTCACACTAGAGTAGTTTCGAGAAAATGCAAAATAACTGCACAACCTTTCCGGGTGAAAAAAATTAAAATTTTGAATTTATAATGTATTTTAAGACATTAATTTTCAATAACTCCTATATTTTGTAAAAATCTACAATGCCTATTATTAAGATAATAATTTTAACTTTGGCCGCATTTGCAACCGGTTTTTAAACTAAAGTTGAAGGTAAATCTTTATATTTAGTTTCAAAATCGGTCACGGACTTGTTTTTCAATAAAATCAACTTAAATACGGGGGATGTTGCAAAATTGCCAATCATATTGGCATATAAGTCCGAATTTTATATTAAAGTGGTTGTAAAACCAAACATGATGTTCTTATGCCATTTTAAGACAGAATAATCAGGTTTAGCAACCAAACAATCCTGTAGAACGGTAGAGAAACTGTAGAAGCTTATTTTAGATTTATTTCGCCAAAAATGTTCGATTATGATTTTACACGACTTAAATAATACGTTGGATAATAAATAATTAAAACATTTTTTGGTTATTTCACACAATAAAAACAAACAAAAATATGTTATTTTTTTTAAATTGTATTTCAACACATTGTATATGGCTATAAGTTTTGTCAATAATTTATGTTATTGGTTTTGCAACAAACTTTCTAAATATTACAGGGTACACTCAGAGAAATATCATGTCATGAAAAGCATATAAAATTATATTAATTTAAATAATCGGATAAATTTGATTTAAATAGAAAAATTTGTATTTTGTATTCATTTACCAACAATTTTACAATGTTTTTAAACACTTTTAAAGTGTACCCTCTTTAAAATATATATACAAAAATAAATCTATTTATTTCATTGCCTTTCTCAACGTTGTTTCAAAAAGATATGTATTATACTATTGTTATACACCTATTAATTTAATGGGACACACCAATGACGCCATAACATATTTGAATCCCTTTGAATTATTATGGTTTTGAATGATTCTACAATGTTTTTTTTCTCAGTGTAGCTGGTAAATTTACGATTTCACTAAACCATGTTTGAATAGAATTGTTTTATTCATTTGATTTAATATTTGATACAATAATAAAGTAGTCTCTGGTTTATAATGGTACCAAAATCTTATAAGGCATTTATTTATTATTATTATTATTATTATTATTTTTATTACTTCCAATATCCATTTTTCCTAGATTGCTCAAACGTTTTACAGTCATCAGAGCTTCCAAAACAAATCCAGAAAAACGGCGGTAGAGATAGAGCTAATGTTAGTTGAATTATAAAAAATTATGTTCTTTTTACAATGTACATATCTTATAATAATTCTAATTATAAAAAAGACAATACACAGATAAAAATTATATCAGTACTTTTAATATAATTAATTTTGACATATGTATAAGATTAATCACATTTATTTTAAAGAATAGTGTATTATATATCAAGTTTAGTCACGAATTTAATTAAATGAGTGTATCTATCTAAAAATGATTTAAATTAAATATATGCGACATCTATAAAACAATAGAGTAACCATTCTTGAAAATCTGTATTACCGGCGTAGGTATGTGTAAATCGAAATGTATCCCTTAAAAATGGATTAACCATATTTAATATATAGAAGCAGTCTTTCGCAGTGAAAGTAAATAAAACGTTTTATGGGCAATACTCGGTGAAGTCTTCACCCGAAATTTTTAAAGTCAAATCTAGTGCGAAATTAAAAGGTCAGTACAATGTTTATATAAACTTTTCAAATATAGTCATTAGGAAACTATTTAATACTTTGGTATTTTTGTATTGAGAAAATAAAATAATGTTTACATTTAGTATTATTTTACAAGAAGGGTACTTTATTTTATCGATTGTATGACATTTGACAAGACAACCAACTTAAAACTAAGTTTACCCCGTGACTATAGTTTTTTATAGTTTTATAAAAACCTGTTGCTAACCTTAGCCCGTGACTAAAACGCCATAAAGCCACAATGTGTATTTAAAAGGTCACTTATAAGTAGACACTATGGATCTGCATGTTTAAAAAAAATAACAGATAAGGTTTTCAAATGTTATGAAAATTTCTTGAAAATAAACATTTAATATGGAATTTATTAATTATATAATGGATAAAATAAAGTTGAAAAAATTGCAAATTTAACGGGATTTTATTATTATAATTTATCAAATAGGCAAACCTGATTTTATTAAAATTATATCAAAAAGTTTAATTTTAAGTTTTAATACTGAGTAAAAATTATTTTAATAATTTTGTAGATTTTCTCTGATTTATAAGATAAAAATTAAATTCTTATCGTTATTTAAAAACAAACATTATTTAACTAAATTGGCTACTTCTCAGATTTGTTTACAATAAACCTATTTATTATTTTATTTTATCATCTTAAGTCATCAGATATCCAATAAAAAAATATGGAGATAATTAAGTAAAAATTAATAGGCAAATACAAAAATCGTAAACACTCCATTATATTTTTGTTTAAGGATTAACAACATATTTTATTGCATATAACCTGTTAAAAATATGTTTTGATGCACTTAGTCATTTAGTTTTTACTAATTAAATTTGCAACTCAAAGACATTATTGGGCAAAGGTTAATTAATTTGAAAACATTATGTAACAAAATATTTATTTATACAAAAAATAATAATAAGAAGTATCAAGGTTAATTAAAAAACTAACTGGTAATTCTGGCAGGAACCTCGAAACAAATAACGTCTCCTTTTGGAGATGTTAGACCCCAGTGAACTACAACTTTTATCTGAAATTAAAATAAAATATTAGTTAATTACAATTTCTGAAGACTGCTAATAAATTATTTGATAAATGGAAAAAATTATGGCATCCTGACATAATAGTTATTTATGTTATTAGGCTGAGAAGTGAGTCGCCTTCAATTAAGCGAAGCACAAAAAGACACTTCTCAGCCAAATCGCATACCTACAATATTTTATGTTCAAGGCACAGTTTTATTTGTTAATCGTTACATAAAATACTTATTAAAAGTATAAAATTATGTTACGTAGATTTGACTAGACTAGACTTGACTAGAAGGTAAAAACCTTTACCCGATGGGTCTTAATTATTTTTACAGCCTAGGCTATAATCAATCACTTTAGTAGTGAGTGTTTCCAACTTCTTATGGACTCCGGGTCAATAACAAGCAAAATCCATTCACAACTTGATGGCCTTGGTATAAGCAAAAATGCCATATCTACATTAGACTGGGCCAAACAAATCGACTATTAAGTATATCGAATATATTGTTTGGGGTGAAAAAAATTATGGTGAAAGTTTGAGTCCATAATATTAATATTAAGAGGTCTATCATCGCAATTTTAGATTTTTTTTTCCTGAGCGAGTTTTTATCTCAGAACTCCCAAACCATTGAGTTTAACAAAATTGACTTATGAATATTTTTTGAATAAAATTGAATGCTCTACACAAAAGGTTAATTGGAATTTCCCGTCAGATAAACCGTTTTCTTACAATCATGCCTTAAAAATTGGTATAGTTTTACAATTTGATCTTTTAACTTTGGTATTTTGTAATTCATGTAAAAATCAGTACCCTGAAAAAAAAACGATAAATATTTTTATGGGAAATCAAATGCTCTACAAAAAAAGTCTTTTATAATTTTTGGTTAAATTCACTCCATCAAAAGTTATTCAAGGTTAAATTTGAAGTCAAAACGAAATTTTAACCTTGAATAACTTGATTGAGTTAATTTAGTCAAAAATGTTGAGAGGCCTTTTTTGTAAGGCATTTGATTTCCTATAAGAAAATTTATCGTTTATTTATTTTTACATGAATTACAAAATTCCAATTTAAAAGATCAAAATGTAAAACTATACCAATTTTTAAGGCATGATTTTAAGGAAACGGTTCATCTGACAGAAAATTTTACCTTAACCATTTTTGTAGAGCATTTAATTTTCTTAAAAAAATATTTTTAAGTCAATTTTGTTAAACTCAATGGTTTGGGAGTTCTGAGACAAAAACTTGCTGAGGAAAAAAAAATTAAAATTGCGATGATAGACCTCTTAATATTAATATTATGGACTCAAACTTTTACAATAATTTTTTTTTGTCACCCCAAACGATATTTTCGATATACTTTTCAAAAAAAATAATTGATTTTTTTGGCCCAGTCTAGTTTTAAACAATAAAACTTAATATTGTAGATAAGGCACTTTTGCTTAATAAGGGCGTCTGCATTTATATTCTAAAGCGCGAGTATTTTGAAGCCGTGATAAACGATAAGAGCGTCATCGCTATCTTTACTAGCCAACTTTATCTTGTCGTTTATGATAGCTCCAACATACTCGCGGCGCCTAAGGCCCTCAATTTATACCAGTCATTCATGTCAAAAAACATCATAACAATATAAACAACATTAAATTAAAAAAATATAGACGCTAAATTTTACCGTCTATATTTTTTCAAAACAACTGGCTTTATCTATTCTTGTGGTTAATGTACTATAGTACTATAGTACGATGGTACGATGGTACTATAATACGACAGTAATATAGTACGACAGTACTATAGTACGATAGTAATATAGTACGACAGAACTATAGTACGATGGTACTATAGTACGATAGTATAATCTATATAGTACGATGGTACTATAGTACTATAGTACTGTCGTTCTATAGTACGACAGTACTAAAGTACGACAGTAATATAGTACGACAGTACTATGGTACGAAAGTACTATAGTACGACAGTACTATAGTACGATAGTATAATATATATAGTTAAGTGAATTATTTCATTATTATCTTTATTCCTTCTATAATTTAAACTTGTGTTACCAAAATTTTTGATTATGGCCTAGGCACTTAAAAATGATTTAGACCAATCGGGTTAAGTTATATATGGCCGAGGCCATAAAAATTCATTATTTACTACTTTGTAGCAATTAAAAAATTCTACTTCTGTCAGATTAATCCAACCTCACTTTCTATTTTAGTTTTTTGCATAAAGTATCGTTTGATAAAAAAAATTGTGCCTTGAAGATAAAATGCTGTATTTTATCTACGTTTCTTGGTAAATAAAATGCAGCTATACAAAAAATGTATTATTCGTTTAATTTTTGGATGAATAGACATATCGTTTTTAAACATTCTTTTTTTGTCCGAGTTTAATAAAATTTCTATGAATACATACATATTTCCATTAACTAGTGTTCTCAAAGGATTTTTTCTAGTCCCACCTTTAAAACGCCCTTTATCGTACATGTTTCCATGACACTAAGTGACCTTTTAAATACACATGGACAAGTTGTGGCTTTACGGCGCTTTAGTCACGGGCTGAAGTTAGCAACAGGTTTTTAGTCACCGGCTGAAGTTAGTTTTAAGTTAGTTGACAGTTGTCAAATGTCATACAATCGTTAAAATAAAGTGCCTTTCTTGTAAAATAATACTAAATGTGAAAATTATTTTATTATCTCAATACAAAAATACAAAAATATTAAATAGTTTCTCAACGACAATATTTGAAAAGTTTATATGAACATTGTACTGACCGTTTAATTTCGCCGACAGTAAACTATAACTTAATTTCGGGCACGGACTCTACTGTAAAGTTCTCATAAAACATTTCCTTTACTTTCACTGTGAAAAACTTTCAATAAAATGTAAAAATGTGACATTTGACAGTTTCCCCTGTTGTTTCATAGATGGCGCTCTATACAAATTTTTGATTTAAATCATTTTAAGATAATAATAAGTATTTGTCGTAGAAAAAGTATAGTATGCACCTCGTTTATAAACTTTTCTATACACTCATTAACTTAAGCACTCGCTCGCAAGCTCGCTCGTGCCTAAATTAAATTCGTGTATAAAATGGCGTTTGTCAAACTTGATACATAACATACTATTTGTTAACAGAATTTTGGCTAAATGTGTATTACTAATGATCCTTGGTTAAAGTATTTGATTAAAATATACAATGTGTTTAATTTTTAATGGCGAAAATTCGGTACCTAAAAATAGACCAATTAAAAAAAATATTTTCAGTTAGTGGTACTAAAAACCTCTATCTTTTAAAGAAAATTGTCATATGTCATTTCCATGGCCCTCTATGATCTCCAAAAACTTCAAAAGTTATTAGGCATTTTTTGAATTTATAATACAATTTTATACAGGATGGTCAAAAAACAACGTTAAACTTAAAAAAAATCATTTTTTTAAACAATCTGTATGGGCGTTTCTCTGTAAACTGGGCAACTTGAAGTAAGAAATTGTCCAGGCAAGTTTTTTTGTTATATATTTTTTTTGTATTTAATAAATGTTATTCGAAGAATAAATATCGGTTTATTTATTAGTATAAGGCAGATGAACCAAAAATATTCCTATTACTTTGGAAAACATTGAGCATTTTCTGAAAAATCTATACAGGGGACTGTTTATAAAATCCGGAGACAAAGTTTAGATGACTTTTTTAGAATTACAAAATAATAATTATAAAAAATAAATAAGTCACAGTAACAAGCAAATAATATTGGTTGAATAATTAAACACTTAGGTTGATTCAAATAGTTACTGTCTTTAATTATTTTAGTCTGAAGTGACCATTTTGCTTTGGTGACACGTCAGGGGACTGGTTTTTAAGGACTATAAAAACGATTTTGATACATTAAAGTTTATTTTATTGGATTTTGAACGTCGAGCATAGGTAGATTAGGTTATTATCTTTTAAAGTTATCTACGAAATATTTATGATCTGTTATTTTTCTAAACAATATTAGCTTGAGACAATGAGTTGCCCAGTTTACAGAGAAACGCCCGTATAAATTTAAGCAAAAACAGTCTGTCATTTTTTTAGGTATTTACACATTTGCTTAGTTTCCTTACTCCAGTAGTGTTCACAAAATTTTAATTAAGGTCAAATTATAAACAAATAATGCTATTTTAAATAGTTATATTAATAAATAAATTATTTAAAAGTAATCTTTTAAGTACCAGTACCTATACATTTGTGTTCATTTAATAATATTATGCCTCTAATTAAATTAATATATATTTACATAAAACACTATTATTTTTGATAATTTTCGACCTTAATTTGTAAACCCTCTGTATAAGTAGAGTAACAAAACCAAGCGAATGTGTAGTTCGTGTAATACCTAAAGAAACAACAGAATGTTTTTAGAAAATCTTTGCTAAAATTTATACAGAGAGCTTAAAAACCTCCTGTATAAAATATTATTACAAAACTATTGTTTTAGGGGTTTTAAGGTATGCCTAATTCAGAAACACTATCCGTTTTTAAATTTAAAAAATAAATAATAATAATAATAATAATAAATTTAAAAAATAAATAACTCTTTTAAGTTTTTGGAGTTCTTATATTAATCATTAAAAGCCATGAAAATGACAATTTTTTCGATTACTTCAAACTAAACACAAAATGAAACACAATGTATATATTTATACGAATTGGAATGCTTGTTGCTATCGGAGAAAAATGGTTTTATTAGCCTAAAAAAGTTATTTGCGGCCCTGCAGCAAACACAAAATTTTATTTTATCGGGCTGTGTAATTTTTTGAAAGTGAACAAACATTTAAAATCTGGGACGTGAGAAATATAAGTAAATATCAAATTAAAATGATAAAATTTACATTTCGTAATTTTATGTTTAATAGTTAGATATTATTATTTTGCGATCTTTGTTTATACCATTAAAAAATAATTTTTAAATAAATTACTAATAAATTTAAATGACAAAACACATAGGTAATTTGTTTATTTTCTAATATCTTTTAAGGTAATAAAATATTTTATATTTATGCTTCGAGAACTTTAAATTAATTATAAGATGATTAAAATGCAATTACAATTAAAACATTATATTACTTTAAAATTATACACAATTTAATTTCTCAAGGTTTTAAAGTATCTAACAAAAAAATTATTTATTACAATTTTCTTACCTTCCTAGAATAATTAAGTAGGTACATAATATGTAGGTACGAGTTTAATTAATTAATTAAAATAGTATATTATTGTGTATAAAGTTTGATAAACGCCATATTATTCACGAATTTTAATTAGGCACGAGCGAGTGTTTAATTAAATGAGTGTCTAGAAAAGTTTATAAACGAGTTGCATACTATACAAGTTCTACGACAAATACTTATCATCAAAAATGATGTAAATTAAATATTTGTATCTATATACAGGGTGTCCCGGAAAATGTGAGAAATCTCTCGGATTCAGATAGAACATTAAAAAATAAGATGACAAGTTCCCATAAATTTTTTTCCTAGCGGCCCTCCCTACGGAGATACGGCCTCCTAAAGGACGCCACTGGAAATCAGATTTTCTTGAATAACTTTTAAACTACTTAATATAATTTAATGAAAATTTAATAGGATAAACAGTAGTAAGGACCTCTTAAAATATTGTCCTTAAAACATAATTAGCTTGTTTAGTTTACCAGGGTCGGACTAGGTTGTACATTTTAATGCTTACATTTTTAACACCCTGTATGATAGGGAGTTAAAAAAAATAAATTTGGATACCTTGAACATTAAGCTAAAGAAAAGGTACTCTTGTTTATTGTCCATAAAATGAACCGTTTTCGAGAAAAAAAATAATAAAGAATTAATGTTTTATTTTTATTAAAAAGAACCATGATTTCTAATTTTTTGTCTGCAACAAAGTGTGATACGAAAGTCATTCAAGAAACAGAAAAGTTTTAGTTTAGGTTATTTAATCCGACAAAATTACAAGATTCTTAAAAATTCAGTCTTGTCCCAGAAAGGCACCTTAACAAAAATTATTTTTAGAAATATGTTGTTCTTGAAATTATTTAAAAAACAACCCTAAAAAATAATGTACAGAAAAATTAAATTAGAAATAATCTATTAAAAACTTCATAAGTGGGTTCAATATGGGCTCCGTGAACTCTGATACACTCGCGGGCACGACGAATAGAGGACTGCTGTATTCGCCACAACAACCCAGCATTGTTCCTTATCGCATCACAATGAAATGTGATTCTCTGTAAAAGTTCCTCCCTAGTATCAACCGGAGAGGAATACACCAAGGTTTTGAGATGTCCCCACAGGTGAAAATCCATTGGCGTTAAGTCGGGAGAGCGTGGAGGCCAGGCAATGGGACCTCCTCTGCCTATCCAACGGTTTGGATAGACGTTATTCAGATAGTCCCGTACAGCAACGCTAAAATGAGGTGGGGCTCCATCATGCATAAAATACATGCGCTGGCAGGTTTCAATTGGCAAATGCTCTATTGAATCCAGAAAAGCATTCTGAAGGAACTGTAAATAAATTTCACCATTCAATCGTGGCGGCAATACGCATGGTCCAATCAAAAAATTGCGAAATATTCCTGCCCAAACATTAATTGATTGGAACTGATATTGATAATGATGAACAACAGTGGCATGAGGGTTTTCATCAGCCCATACATGCGAGTTATGTAAATTTACAATACCATTTTTGGTAAACCCTGCTTCATCGGTAAAAAGAATAGAGCTAATGAAGTTTGGATTTGTCCGTTGTTGATCTAACATCCAGTTTGCGAACTGGATTCTACGAGGAAAATCTTGAGGAAGTAGTTGATGCACTTTTTGCAAATGATAAGGTTGTAACAACTGTACTTTATGAATTATCGTTTTTGACGTATGAAGCTGCGAGGCTAATCTTCGAGTGCTTATTGAAGGAGTATCAGCTACACTATCCAAAATATTTTCCTCCAATTGCACCGTACGTACTGTTCTTCTCACACCAGCATCAGTACTTGTTTTCCCAAAACTTCCCAAAAATTATTAAAGAAAGTCAATAATGTTGCCTTATTAACTAAGAATCGCCCACCAGTCTCTCTTAGACGTTGATCAAGTCGCTGAAATGTTTTCTGATTTGGAATATTGCCATCAGGATATCTTTCTTTATACAACCTTCTTGCTTCCAAAGCATTGCAAGATGCAAGCCCGTACATAAGATGCATATTTGCATACTCACTAAATGTGTATCCCATTATTTAATTAAATTTACCAAGATATTTAAAATTCAATAAATTAATATCGAAGTAAAGGATCAACGTGCTAACAATATGAAAGATGACAAGATTTAAAATACACACGTCAATGCAAGATATTTATTATTTCGTAGGTACCATAGTAACGTTTGTAAAAACAGTGCGTTTTTTAATGCTAATGACAGTTTTATTTTAATTACTTTCGAATCACACTTTGTTGCAGACAGTGTTAGGTACAACATTTTTTCTACAAGCGTGCGGAAAGTGTCTACAAGCAGAGAATCTCGAAATTTTCTTTATCGGATTCCATTTTAAGTTTTATTTTTTTTTGTTTCCACACGCATAATCGTGCGGAAAGTTGCACTTTTCCGCTTGTAGAAAAAAAAATAGAAATCATGGTCTTTTTAATAAAAATAAAACATTAATTCTTTATTATTTTTTTTCTCGAAAACGGTTAATTTTATCGACAATAAACAAGAGTACCTTTTCTTTAGCTTAATGTTCAAGGTATCCAAATTTATTTTTTTAACTCCCTATCATACAGGGTGTTAAAAATGTAAGCATTAAAATATACAACCTAGTCCGCCCCTGGTAAACTAAACAAGCTAATTATGTTTTAAGGGCAGTAAGAGGTCCTTACTACTGTTTATCATATTAAATTTTCATTAAATTATATTAAGTAGTTTAAAAGTTATTCAAGAAAAACTGATTTCCAGTGGCGTCCTTTAGGAGGCCGTATCTCCGTAGGGAGGGCCGCTAGGAAAAAAATTTATGGGAACTTGTCATCTTATTTTTTAATGTTCTATCTGAATCCGAGAGATTTCCCACATTTTCCGGGACACCCTGTATAGAGCATTCTAACTTCAAGTTAGTAAATTGGGCATCTGTAATACCGGCGCGACGGTAAAAATTTTAAATTTGTATGTGTAAATTTAAATGTATTCTTTGAAAATGAACTAATCACCGGTTAAATCTGATAAAGAAGCAGTTTTTCACAGTGAAAGTAAAGAAAATGTTTAATGGTTAAACTTTTAAATTTAGTTTACTGCCGGCGAAATCTAAAGGTCAAATATTGGCGTTGAGAAACTATTTAGGTAATACTATTTTATTTTTGTATTGAGATAATAAAATGATTTTCACATTTAGTAATATTTTACAAGAAAGGCAATTTATTTTAACGGTTGTATGAAATTTGACAACTGTCAACTAATTTCAGCCCGTGACTAAAAAGCCATAAAGCCACAATTTCTCAATGTGTATTTAAAAGGTCACTTAGTGTCATGGAAACATGTACGATAATTGGCGTAGAAAAAGCAATTTACTAAAATTATGTTTTATAACTTACGTTCGGGTAAATTTGAAGCACGTCGATTTTGTTCTTGTACACGTAATTTTTGCCAGCTTCCAGTGGACATCCGGCTTTAGTTGTACCATCTTCTTGGAAAACATTTTGACAAGCGTCTTCACCATCCACACCCACGAATGGAAATGGTACACCAACAATAGCAGCAGTAACGGAATTCTTTAATGATTCCACAGGAAATTCTAAAAATACAAATATTTTGAATTAATTTTATATTTGTATGCCTTTTTGTGAGATGTTTTTGTATAATATATTATAAAAACCTATGCAAACACTTTTTTGTAAGCTTTAGCTTTCTTAAGCTTTATGAAACTAAAATCTTTGTTTTGATAGTAAATTATGTATAAAGTATAGGCACGAACGAAGCTTGCAAACTAAAGTTGTTCAAAATGTATCTTTTAAAGGTGGAAAAAGTGGTTCAAACGTATAAATCTTGAAGAAGATTTATTTGAAAATAAATTTTGGCTTGATCAAAATTATTATCTAATAAAAAGTATAATAAATAGTATAAAATAAAACTTACCAGGTGAAAATTTAAGTGTAACATCAATAGCGCTATTTTTTCTTAATCTGCAGGGTGGTTTCTTGCAATTTCCTACTCTAACTAGTTTACTAAGTTCATCAATTGATCTAGATCCTAAAAAATAAAAACAAAATGATTAAGGTTAAGTACTTATTTTACTCTTTTACATTTGATTATTCAAAAATATTTGCAAAAATGTTTGTTAAAGTTTGCATTCGCAAAGCTATCTATAGCTGATAACATTGATTTAGGCCTGTATCTTTGGAATAAATAAAATCTAACCAAAACAACCCCTAACAAATTAAACAAATACCTACTTGTTATTTTTTTAAAATAATTAAAAGAAAAACTTTTTTTATTTCTTGTATTCTAGTTCTTATTAAGTATAATAATAAAAAGAATTTTTAACGTTCTCTATTTTTAGAGAGAGAACGAAGACACTGGAATTTCCTATTTTGATCAATAATAGCAATAAATATTTAATTCAACTACCGCAAGGAATTTAAATTTAATATTATTAAATTTTATTTAATATTTTATCTGTCAAACCATTTTAACCTTACTTTTTTAATTTTAACTTAAAAACCATGTTCGAAATGCTATTTCGTCCACGGATTGAAGCTATATCTGTAAGTTAACAATCAGGGAGCTGATTATTTCGTCCACCCTCTACGTATTTACATTTTCCTTACTAGTGTTGAATAATAGTATATTGTGCGACTAGTGGGAAAAATAGGAGATTTCTCGACAAAGGTGGTATCACGCTACTTGAATGTCCTCTTTCCATTAGTCGCAAACAATATTTTATTCAACTTTCGCAAGAAATATGGGTGATTCTACAAAAGTTGGACAACTTGATGTCATCAGTCAATAAAGTAGGTATTTTAATATTTTTTGTAAATATTTTAGTATATTACAAAAGATCCATGTTTTTTTAACTCGTCCACCCAACTTTAATGTATTTTTTCAAAAGCACGTTTGTAAAAAACATAATAAATATTCAAAACATCAGTACCTTGGCGTGTCACAACTCCTGAATCAAATATTAAAGTGATTTTATTTTAAAATATATTCAATTTATCTTAAATTTTTCAATTTCACTAGAAACTATAAAACATTAAATAATGTATTTTTCATATTTTATCATAGATACGCATAATAGCAATTTTTAAAAAATTGATGATCATTGTACTCACTTTTACCCGTCAGTTCTGTGTCCAATGTTAAAATTCAAAATTCCTGCGAAATGTTGAAGTTTAAACGTCAAGTCCTCGTTTTAACTTTAAGTGTTGGTAAAAAAAATTACCTACACATCCCTCCCTTTGCACGACAGTCATCTTGAAAACAATGCAAGCGGCGAAGTTGTGGTGAATGCACGTATAGTTACAGTCAATATTTCAGTACTGTGGTGAGTAGTTATTTTCTTACGTATATATTTGTTGAACATAACAAAATACTGTTTAATATTCTCCGAAAACTATATAAACAAAATGAGGTCAAAATTTGCCCAAATTTTGTAGAATCACCCATATACATAACAGTGTCAAAACGAATTATGAACAATTGAACGGACGAACCAATTATGGCGCAAGGAATTTAAAGCCTATTTTATTTCACATTTGACATCTTTTAGACAGTTTTAACGTCACTTTTTTCAATTTTAATTTAAAGCTATAGCTGGTTAACTTCAGCCTGTGGTCAAAATAGAATCTCATCCCCGCGAATAGAGTATTTTTTTTAGTTTTTAAGCAGTACTTTTAAACTATTAAATAATACATTTTTAACGCTAAGCAAAGTATGTAATCATTTTGTGCAATATTTTTAAATCGTAATGTTGCAAAACGTCTTCATTAAAACTCAGATTGGATATTCCAGAAAATAATTTCCGTTTGGTATTGAAAATTTGCAAAATAAAATTTGGCTGTAGCCACAAAGTCTTTTCCATTTTACGTCGGTTTTTATTACAAGCAAGCGCACACTTTTATGATTCACGTTATCCCCATATATCAGCTTCTTTTTAACTTTTCCATGCATTTCCACGTTTATTTTCGCACCACGTGTCTAAAATTTACATACAGCCTAAATATGTTGCTTATAATTTAAAGAGATATTCAAATTTTGTAATGGATGTATAATTAGGAATTAACATATGGATAGCGCTTATCGAAAAGGAACCAAGAGCTAAAAAGTTTTTCTGGGGTTAGTAAAATTATTTGTAAAATAACTCATTTTTAATAATGGTCAAAAGGTTGATCATTATTTGGAACTTTTCTCAAAAGGATTGAGAGGGTTCCCAAATCATTATTAGAGCAGCATTAAAAATGAGTTATTTTGCAAATAATTTTTTCTACAACCAAGCGAAAAATTCAAATTTGCGCAAGCCGCAAAGTTGTGGTGAATGCACGTATATTTTCAGTCAAAATTTCAGTACTGTGGTGAGTAGTTATTTTATTACGTATATATATTTCATTGTAATTTATATAAGGCTATATCTGATTTCTTGAAAAGTAGCATCCACTAATAAATAAAAATATCAGTAAAATACTAAATTCCGAATTATAATCTCAAATTTGTATCCCATTCATCAGTACCGTGTCGTCAGTTCCATGTTCGATGTTTCGGTTATCTTTTTTTCGCAAACTTCAATTTAAATTCTGCTTTCGCAGAACTTGTTAATTTAATGTCATAATGGAATAGTATATTTATTATATTATCTATGTTCTCATAACAAAATACTGTTTAATTTTCTCCGAAAACTATATATACAAAATAAGGTCAAAAGTTGCCCAACTTTTGTAGAATCACCCATATCTTAGTTTAAATTTATTGTATACTATTAAAAATTCTTAAATGTAGGTAAGATTAATTTTATTGGTTATTAATTTATTTAAACCATAGGCCTATATAAGTAACGTACTAAATATTTGCAAAAATGGAACTTTGAAACGTTTTAATATTCTCCTTTAAAATTTTCCTTTTGGCGCATACCCCTATGCCCTCGATATGTAATTAACAAAATGTATACAGGGTGTTTCACAACTTATCCACGAAATTTTAACCACATATGCACTGTTACGAAAGAAGTTGATTTCTAAAAAAAAAATGTAATAAAAGTCCTACAGAAATTAAGTTATAACTCTGAGTGTCAATAAAACAATGAAAAATAAATATCTGTATTTTGCGCTCATCGTTGCGATATCACAACACTCATTAATAATTTCTTGTAGCAAATGTTGTACGAATCCACTAAAGAAAACAAAATACCAGGAATTCTTTGTTTTTTCATATTGATAAGAACATGTAAATAATGTTTAATTTGTATCGTGAGTGATCTGAATGAACAACGGTCGATTTTTGTGAATGTAATGAAAGTATTTTGCTAGTTTATGTTTTTCGATATTTATTAAAAATGGCACATGTGTACAGTAATGAGGATTTAGTGAATATTGTTTTAGCGTACGGAGAAGCAGGGCAAAATTCGGAAGCGGCTTCTCGTTTGTATGCCAACCGATTTCCGGATAGGCACAGACCACATCCACAAACATTTACTTCAATTGTTTTACGTGCACGTGCTACTGGTGATTTGCGCCCCAGACGTGGGGTGGATGGGGGTCGGGTTCGCCCACAACGCGTTTTAAACGCCGAAGAAGAAATTTTGAATATTGTGGAAGAAAATCCAGGAATAAGCACAAGGAGGTTAGCCCAACAGGTACCAGAAGTCTCACATGTGACAGCGTGGCGCATATTACGTGAAAACCAACTGTACCCTTATCACGTGCAGAAAGTCCAGGCGTTGCTACCCACAGATTACCCCCTCAGAATAAGATTTTGTGAGTGGTTGTTGCAACAAAATGCTCGAAATGCCCGTTTTACAGCTGATATTTTGGCCAGCGATGAATCAATTTTTACTCGAAATAGTATAACCAATCTTCACAATACACACGTTTGGTCATTTGAAAATCCTCACGCAATAGAGGAGAGAAACTTCCAACATCGTTTTTCTTTAAACATGTGGGCAGGTATTGTCGATGAACGTCTAATTGGACCGTTCATATTGCCAGATCGGATGGATGGTCACCAGTATTTGGAATTTCTTCAGCATGATTTGCCGGTCCTTCTTGAAGATGTGCCATTGGCGGTCCGAGCAAGGATGTGGTTTCTGCACGATGGGGCACCTCCGCATTTTCGTTTAGAAGTTCGTAATTTTTTGAATGAGGTACAGCAGATACGCTGGATCGGTAGGGGTGGACCAATTGCATGGCCTCCACGGTCTCCCGATCTAAATCCTCTGGACTTCTTTTTATGGGGATACTTGAAAAACGAGGTATACCATACTCCAGTGCAGAATATTGAAGATCTGCGTGACCGAATCACAGTGGCTGCCGATAATTTGAGACTTCAAGCACAGCAGGAAGGAGGTGTATTTCAGTTAGTGCGCCGAAATTGGATTAGACGCGCCCAAGCTTGCATTGAAGCCAATGGAAACCATTTTGAACAGCTTTTATAAGTAAGTGAACTGGTAAACTGTATTATTTTATTATCTCGATTTCTGTAGGACTTTTATTACATTTTTTTTTTAGAAATCAACTTCTTTCGTAACAGTGCATATGTGGTTAAAATTTCGTGGATAAGTTGTGAAACACCCTGTATACATAAGTAAATAATTCAAAATAAAAAATAAAATAATCTTATCTACTCAATCAACTTTTTCACTACCTTTTAAGGTATCCACTTATATGTCTCGACTAACTGGTACCAGTGCTGGTTAATAATCTTGTACTTATCTTATTATGATTGTTATGGAAAAAAGTATTCAACTAATTAAATGCTTGCTAAAGGCTTGCAATAAATATCATTGTGAAATAAATAAATAGTTAATACCTAGCAACTAACCTTAATTTGCAAAATCATCCGATGCAGTTATTAATGCGTTACAATAGTAAAAGTGAATGATAATTGCATGCTTTTAACAATACGAATACAATTAGCATAAATCCACTACTTGAATTTTGTTATAATAGTAATTTTAAATAGGTATAAGCTCGATTAAATAATTTAATTTAAATGGCCATGCGGTGGTGAGTAATCAATCGACGATAAAGTTTATTGGAGATTTTGTGTACTAAAAAACTATAGTTAAGTGGGTTGTATTGCCTGTTTTTTTTGTGGTTCTAACATTGGTATATGAAATAAATGTACCTACACGGAGCATGGGAGTCGCCAAGGGGGACATGGGGGTAGCTTATTGTCCGATTTATAATTCCTAGCAGTTAGAATAAATGGCAGAAGAACAAGAAAATATTTTCACATTTTTGTTTTGACGGATCGATTTTAATAAGCGTTTTAACCATTATTATCTAATTCACGAGTTGCACATATTTTTTTTGCCCCACCATCAAATAAAAATTATTATTTTTGTAAAAAAGATTTGACAGAATCTGATAAGTGTTTTGGTTTTCAAGGTTAAGTTTTTTAAGTTTTCTTAACATTGTTTTACAGCAATAGTTGAGGTGCATAGTTGAGGTGCATTCATATTAGTGAGTTGCATTCATATTAGTTGTTTTCGAGAAAAATGTCAAAAACCTTACACGTGAGTAGGTACTAAGGCATATCAGGCAAACACAATACTTTAATCGAAATATAAAGGCATAAGTAAAACATTTATATACCTTGATTAAAAAGGTATAGCTCCACTTTAATAGTATATTATGTATTAAGTTTGATAAACGCCATTTTATACAAGAATTTAATTTAGGCACGAGCGAGCTGCGAGCTAGTGCTTAAATTAAGGAGTGTATAGAAAAGTTTATAAACGAGGTGCATACTATACTTTTTCTACGACAAATACTTATTATTATCTTAAACTGATTTAAATCAAAAATTTGTATAGAGCGCCATCTATGAAACAATAGGGGAATATGTGTGTCACCTTCAAATGTAAAATTTTTATATTTTATAAACACAGATTATACAGGTTATAAATCGAAATGTATTTCTTGAAAATTGACAGTTTTAAACAGTGAAAGTAAAGAAAATGTTTTATGAGCACTTTACAGTGGAGTCCGTGCCCGAATTTAAGTTATAGTTTACTGCCGGCGAAATTAAAAGGTCAGTGCAATGTTCATATGTATAAACTTTCCAATGATTGGCGTTGAGAATCTATTTAATACTTTTGTATTTTTGTATTGAGATAATACAATAATTTTCACATTTAGTATTATTTTACAAGAAACGCACTTTATTTTAACGATTGTATGACATTTGACAAAAGTCAACTAACTTAAAACTATTTTTAGCCCGTGACTAAAAACCTGTTGCTAACTTCAGCCCGTGACTAAAGCGCCATAAAGCCACAACTTGTCAATGTGAATTTAAAAGGTCACTTAGTGTCATGGAAACATGTACGATAAAGGGCGTTTTAAAGGTGGGAGTAGAAAAAATAATTTAAAATATTATACGTAAATGCCGAGTTCTTCATGATATAACCAATAACCAAGGCAAGTTTTGGAACGATAGTCAATTTGTAAATGAATTTTTAATGGAATAAGGTTACTTTTGGAATATTATGAACTTTTTAGGGTATAGGGGGATACATGTTAAATGTACAGACACCACTAACTCATTTTTATTAAAAAGTGGATAAGTCGAGTTTTGGAATGGACATACTCAGTAAGTTTTGTGTTATCAATATGTAGTGTCAGAAACTGTTACAGAAGTGATCAATATATTCTGCACATGAACAGTGTTACCAACCTGTTTTCTTTAAAATTCCCCATGACAGTGCTTTCCCTATTTAAACCCAAAGTTTCCTTTCGAGTTTTTTATTAAAATATTTTTTTAACATAAAAAAAAACAAAAATATAATTCAAAATAGCAATAATAAAAACTAACAAACTTGAACACTTAAAATTAAAAAAAAATTTTTTTTAAATAAATTAACAAATATTAAACTTGACCCCTTTCTTTTTAAAAGAGTACATGTCTTCTTTAAGCAGTTTTACATAGGTATCTGTAATTCTCTACTACATCCAATTCTTCAGCATCTTCTTAAAAAAAAGAATTTATCTGTCGGGCCTCCCCAATCACCTGATCTTAACCATATTAAGAAGTTATGGGACCAAAATGATAGAAATATCAGAATAATATTAAAAACAAGTACGTAGTATGTTGAAATTGCTTATTTTTAGATAAAGGGATGTGGGTTAATCTGCTTACTAAATTTTATTATTTTTATGTATTTTAGGTCTCTTAAATTTTGCATTCAAAGTTTATACTGCGACACAATTATTTTTAAATTAAATATATACAAGCAAGAATGATTCAGCTACACGACATTTTTTGAATTTTAATTGTATCTTTCCAAACCATTTTATATTTTCCTTGTTTTAACTCTAATTTAATAAAACATAAAATATTATTTATCTCCACGCGGTCTATAATTTAAACTTTATTGTTGTCAACATTCGATAAAGAAATACCTTGTTATGGCCTAGGCCGATAAAAATTTTTATGAGGCAAGTAATTAGTTCGATTTTTTCTCGCTAGGGGTATTGTTTTGACAAATTAATCCTTTTCTAAGAAATTAACGTACTAAACTGGTTTAATTTATTTATAATAAGCACTAATTTGTTTGTTTTACTGTTATAACATTTTAATGTTTAATATTTTTCATTAAATTATTGTAAAATTAAATATGAATAATAAGACAAAAAGTGAGGTTAGGACATTGCAATTTGACGTTTCACAGTTGTGTTTTCTTTTTCTACGATTTAAATTATCTTTAAATTTTAATTTGCTTTAAGTTTTCAGTAAAATTAAATGTTAAACACAGCGTAAACATTCCAAACTACCTATTTTTTTAATAAAAATGCAAACAAATTGAAATTAGATACCTATTTATTAAACAATTAATTGAATTCAATGTAATAGCAAGAGGGTAAGTAAACCATTTTCTTACAAAAATCCATTTCTACTTAAATCATGGAGTTAGGTATTGTCAAACTATTACTGCTTCTAAAAGGAATAATAATTATTGTACATTTAATGTAATCTTTAGCTAATAAATAAATGAGATTAAAAAAAGTGAGGTTAGGGCGCTTTCATGTTGAATTAAATTGACCTATATAAAGTGCTTTGAAGATAAAATGTTGTATGCCATTCGGCCAAGAAGTGTCTTTTTGTGCTTCGCTCAATTGTAGGCCTCCGCTACGCGTCGGCCTTCAAACTTTGAGCTTAGCACAAAAAGCCTTACTTCTTAACCTAATGACATAAATAACTATTTCATAACTGAGCACAAATGTGCATTATAATTTAGTAAATATTCTGTTTATTTATTTATTTAATTCATTAAATTATAATAACATTTTATGTAATTATACCTACATGAATTAATTAATTTTAATGTGTGCATTAATTTTTTAAATGGGAGCATCGAATATAAAAATATAACAGTTTTGAACTATTAAATGTAAACAAACCGGTCATGTTCTAGCTGAGTTTACAATATAACTGTCTATCAACAAACTCTAGGTGCTTTCCAAATAATTCTATATCTAAACTTAAATCTACAACAAAAATATAAAATAAATGTTACTTACCACCCTGACATTTCCGCACTTGCGTGGCCGTGCCGTAACCGATAGCGACCACCAAAAGAACAAAAGCGGGTGTTAAATTCATTTTCGAAAACCAACAGAAAAGATAAAACACCTTTATTATTAACAGCACAGACGGTTCTCCGGTAAAGGCCGGACTAACTAGTATCGTTAAACGAATACTCTCTCTTTAAGAATGTTTTAAGACCACCTTGTCGGTCAGTGCGCGGACAAAGTACGACTAGTAAAATCATACGACATGTTATTTACATTCATGATGTAGCGCCTTTTTATTTATTTATTTATTTATTCCACCTTGCTAATACATACTAGGAAGTCGGCTTTGTTTTCGAGATGTCCGGATCTGCACTATTGTGTTTCTTGGTGATTAAGTTTTATAAACGTCATGAGAATTGAAATTAGCGAATAAGCATTACTTTTGTGTTTTGTATTTAAGTAATGTAATTTGTATATAAAGTACATTTTCATGTTCATTTTATAATACATTTTTTATGGTAATAAGTAATGCAATTTATTTTATACATATGGTTTTAATAAAGTTGTGACAATATTCTAATTCCAAAATAAGTTAAGTTTGTTTTGGTATGAAATTTTTTTTAAATAGGTAAAATTCCATTTATAAATAAATTTCTTAGAAAAAAATATTAAAAAGCTTTGTATTTTCATAAAATAAATTAATTTAAAATAAATACATAGTTATTTATGTAGTTAGGTTAAGAAGTAAGCCTTTTTTGCTGAACTTGATTGTGATCAAGAAAATTTAAAAAGGCTCAAGGCAATTGAAACTTTTAAAATTATTATGAAACTCTTTCCCAATGTTGGCATTGCATAAAATATTATGATGTTACAAACTATTTAACAGACTAGAAAGATACTAAGAGATAAAGGGTGGGCCATGTTTATGTTGAATTATAAAATAGCAATGAGAACAAGAAAAGCTGATTTTTTTTTTCAACGAATTTTGCTTTATTTGATACAATGTTTCTTCCGATTAAGTATGGAAAATGATTTTATTAAAGTGGCCACCTCAGCTGGCTCGGTAGTAGCCCATCCTGGAACACCAATTTTCGAGCACTTTGTCAAAAGTTTACTGCTCTATTTAGGCAATTTGAGCTTGAATGTTTTGTTTTAAATGGTGAATAGGCTTTGTTACGACGACGTGTGGATTTTCCGTGGCCCAAATCCTACAGTTTTGCTTGTTGACATAACCTCCGAGGTAAAAATGCGCCTCATCCGAAAAGATGATTTTTCTTGCAAAATTAGGGTCATCGTTCAACTGGTTTAAAGTCCACTCAGCAAAGCGAACACGTTGTGCATGGTCAACTTGCTTTAACTCCTGAACAAGCTGGACTTTGTACGCAAACATACCGAGGTCTTTGTGCAGAATCATCCTCAGAGTGGTACGGGAAAAGCCGAGTTGTTGACATCTGCGCCGAGTTGATGTTGACGCGTTCATGCGTACATTTTCGGCCACAGCAGCGATTGCTTCAGGTGTACGTCTAGGACGAGCATGCGAAATGTTTTATGTACACCAGCATTCCATTTCTGCGCAATTTTTTGATCAAATTTGTAATACTTTGGTTTGACGGCGCCTCATTTCTTCCAAACGCAATTTTCTTGCCGTCTCACAGTGCAACGAGTAAATGGGAAATCGGGACAAAAATCATATCTCCTATATTTTTGTTGATATCAATGCCATTTATTTTTTTATTTTAACAGCCCATATTATTGCACAAAAGGCACATGTATTAACTTACAATCTTGTTTGTTTCAGGTAAAGATATAGTTACATTTATTTCTTGATTTTGATAGTTTGATACTAAATATTTAAGAATTAATTTTAAACATACTGTATAACGTAAAATCAAAATTGTTAATTCAATAAGGTAGCTACTGGACAATCTTAGTAGTATTCTTGAGTTTGGCGCTACAGGGTGTTTATAATTATTTAATAAATGAAAACAATCCGTGCTTAATAATAAGTAAAATCATTCTAAATAGTCACTGCTGGAATACAAAGAAATATTGCCTAAATTTAAACCTGTAACCCCACTTGAAGCGCAGTATCTAAATTATCAAGTAAGTAAGTAGTTTTCAATACCGATATAATCAATTTTACGTCTATTATTGCTCTTTCTAAAAGAAAATAAAAGAGGTAGGTAACTCACCAAAATCTGTCAGAAACCGATCACGATTTCTTTGAGATTTTTGAAACTTTTGGTCTATTTTAAAGCAAAAAAAGTGTGCAATGTCATGAAGCCTTTTAACAACTTCATTTGGAAGACCATCTGTTTTAAAATAAGTCAAAAGAGTATAAAAGATCCTCTCTTCTACTTGAGACTTTTCGCTGGATATCCATATCTCAACAAGATGGATATATTTGATTGACGGAAATGTGTCTAAAATTAAAAAAATCATGTACTTGCGCAAAGCGGCGCAAAAAAAGTTGCTTAGTGTCATCAAGTACAGACCTTACGAAAATATAATTTGATAAATTTAGAAGGGTCAATTTGGGTCTTTTAGAGAAAACGCTTATTAAAATTAAACAACTACTATTTTTGATGAAACATTTTTGAATAATTATTTTGGGCCTAAATTAATTATTTTAATCATTTTTTATATTACATATATGTATATATGTATATATAAACAGTACTTACCACCAAGAAAATTTGTCATTTTAATATTCTTTAACAAAATAAACACTTCGCCGACTACGTACTTCACAAAGGATACAACTTTTACACCTATTTATTTTATTTATTAAAATACTGTAGAATATGAAGATGTTTTTTTTCTCGCCGGTAAAAAATAAGAATGTGGCATATTGTTTTGATACAACCGAATGTTTATCTTTGCTGTAGTCAACAAATTTTAATTATCTATAACATACCTAAGTCCGATTTTTGTCCATTGGCCGACGCACTGTGCGTCTCTGCGATCACAGTCACATTCAAAGTAAGTTTTGAGTATTTCGAAACGTTGATCCAAATTTATTCGGTCCATATTTTGTAATCGGAAGGTAAAAACTAAACCACCAAGTTGAAAGCTTCATTAATAGCACGTGGTTTAAAATTCAACTTATAGATGGCCCACGCTTTATAAAACAAATAAAACACTTGCTCATGCCCCACTCCCTTATTAAGTATTATTGGTAGCACATTTGCACCAGTGCGCCCGCCTCGTGGGTTAACATAAAGTATACTTAACATAAAGTGTGGACCGGGATTAACATAAAATCCGGTTGATATTTGGTTAAAATTAACAAATTTTTTTTACTGTGTAATTAATACCCAAAAACTAGCTACGCCTAATATTGCCTAATAATAAAACAAAGTTTAAATCGTCATTATTTGTTTATTTTTAAAAGGTCGATGTAAAAAAATTTATGACACAAAGTCCCGAAAATTTACCCACCCCGTGTCACTGCTAAACATCTCTCAACGCCTTAAGGGTTACTACAAAGCCCGCAAAAACGGCTGCCAAGTTGGCAATAGTTTGGCGTCGTCATGGGGGCGAGTTCTTGTGTTCTCGGACCGCAAGGAAACTTAAGTCGACAAACTGTATTCGATCACCTCGCCATTGAACGGCCGCCTAAACTAATCGAAAACGGCGTCAGAGTTGGCGGTACAAGTCTTGGAGATTTCGAAAGGGTTGCTCGTCTTAATTGCATCTTATAGGCTCAAATTGAGCGTCACTTAATTCCTTTCCACGGCATTCTGCCGATAATTAATCTCCCCTCGATCAAATGGTGCACATAAAAGATACCTAATAAATAAAATTCGTGCCTAGAATACTAGATGAGATTCTTCTCTTCTTAGTAAACTATACTATAAGGAAAGTAGATTAATGGTTTTGCTAGGCAGTGGTAATTATTTTACTGCTTAGGGAATTGAATTTTGATCAATAAAAATGGGTGAATCTCACGAAATGGTGTTACCCCGTGATATTTAATAAAACTAAATGAGTTTGACCTACACTTTTATTGTGTTTTCATCTTTTATAATTAAGTAGATATTACAGCTCAGGTTTCAGATTTTTAACGGCAATTAATTATTTTTTACAATGTTTTAAAAGTCTAAAACCTATCATTCGTGACTGTTACTCTTTCTAGGTTAACCTATATGTTTTCAAATATCTGAGGTAGTAAAAGCATACTAAAAATGTCAGTTTACTAAGCAAATTAAACACATCCAAAGCAATCGAATCATTCGATAAAATATTATTAAAAATTAAAAGAAATAATTTTTATAACCATTTATGTAGGTGTTACAATAATTGATTCTATCCCCCGTGAATCTGTTTTTGCTTTAAATTGTATGCAACGGATGGCGCTTTAATAATTTTAAATAAGCAAAAACCTCTGTTTACGACATTATAGATGCATGTGATTCCTGAAGGCCAGTTACAATTTATATGCAGATGAGAGTGTTGCTGTTTTATGATTCAAAAGTTTAAGTTCATTAATTTGCTATTTAATAACCTATCCACCGTGAAGTGTAATATCTCAGTATATATTTTTTATAAATATTTTATGTATGTGGGTGGTCCCCTATAATGTCGCCCCCCTTTAACTTTTTTATTTTAAGTGTCATACAAAATTTATGTAAGTTATGTAGGTACTAAAAATACTTTTTTTTACGTATAAAGAAAATTGAAAAATTGATCAGTATACAGGGAATAACAAAAGGTTTATTTTTTTTTATCTATGGATCACCCTATATATGTATTTATTTTATATATTTAAATTATTTTTAAGATAATAAGTTAAAATAGTTTGTCTTTCTCTGTCTGAGTACGCCATTTTTACTTATTTAACAAGACATATTTACATAATGTCAATATAGTAATTTATTTTCAATAAAAATTTTGGTATAGGGGAAGGTGGGGGAATTTTGCGCGGTGGGTAATTTTACGCATAAACAATTCTTCCAGATATGAAGTAAATAATACATTTTTTGAATGTTGCAAACTTGGAAACGTTGCTTTGGGTATACGGGGACTAAAGTGTACCGCAATTAAGCTTGTAGCTTTTAGCTAGTGACCATAGTCACTAGCTAACTGTGATACATGTACGTTGATCTAAGAAATCCATGTCGTTTCCGCTACGAGTTAAGTTTAAATTTCTGTCCAATCGCTTAAATGTTTATAACAGAACTTTATATGATCTTTCCTCGTAATCTGGTGTATGTTTAA